GTTGATACATAGCAGGGAGCCAGGTATATAATCAACAAGCCCACTTGAACCCCATGCCCCCACTTCACAAGGAGGGACTCTCCACCATCTATCTGAGGCACAGTGGTCTCCCTAGGACATAAATTCTCCCTTATAATGACCGCTACCCCGCCGCCCCTACCCCGGGTCCTTGGCTGATGGAATGCCTGGAAACCCGGCATGGTGACTTGTTCTGCAGCGAATTGGCCATGGCGAGTTGGCTGTGGCAAATTGGCTGTGGCGGGTTGTCCCATTCCGAACTCAGCAATGGGCAAATTAACTGTAAATAACTTATATAAACAATTCAATTTAAACTTTCTCAGATTCCATAAAAAGTATTTTACAGGTGGTCCTCAAGTTACCGCCTCATGGAACCAGTCATATACCTGTCTGCCAATTTTATGACTTTTTTGCAGCAATCGTTAAATGAACATGGCAGTATGTACGAACACCATGGTAGTTAAGCAAAGGCCACAGTCAATATTGTTCACTATAGCATGGTTTTGCTTGCTTTGCTTGCTTATCCACTTTTGCTTCTCTGTTATGTGCAGCTGCAGCTGAACGGATGTCCAGAAATTAATTCTTAAATGCACAAAACTACATTTAATATTAACTAGAGAACCTGTGATCCATTGAGTCATCATTTTAGCGATATTTCCTTAACTAAACAAAGAAACAGAATGACCATGGGTGGGAAAAAAATCAGTTGGAGCTGGAGTGAGTTATGACTTCCTATTAGCTTCGCCACTGAATTTCCTTGTGGGAAGCTGGTAATGAGCATTGGAAATCTCCCTCTCTCCCCTTTCCCTTCTCAAGGAGCAGGTAGGTGACCACAGCAGTGTGATAGTGGCACTAAAGCAGCAGAACCCTGGCAATGCTGAAGCAGCCACAGATTCCCCCAGAGTCATTGACTGAAATGGGTGGCCATAGAAATTGAACAAATAAATAAATAAAATGTTCATTCTCTTTGTAGTAATAGGTCCCAGCATTTTGTAAGTTAGCCCATTTGAGGTACCTTGGTTGAAAACATTTTGCCCCGAGAGGCTTAATTTTGTCCAGTTGAGAATTTAGTAATCTATAGATATTCCTTATATGAAAAATTTGGACATAGCAAAGAAATAAATCCTCACACAATTCTTGGATTTGTTATTCTAACCAGTAATATATTTAGATCAGCCCCAAAACTAGCTTAAATAAATCTGACTTTGACTCTCTCCCATCTCTAAGAGGAGGCTTCTGCTTTTTAGAAAGTGCTGGCTTTCATGCAATAGCAATGTTTTCACTTGGTATCTTGACCCATGAATTTGGTTAAAGAGATTTGGGTATGCCTGAAAGAAAACAAGTAATAACCAATAGATTTTAGATAAGAAAGAGAAAGCCACGTGATCTTATTAGAACAGCATTTATCCCAATCTATACTTACAGCTAAATGCAAAGGACTTCTTGCTGATGTTGAATCTGATTCCTCGAAAAAGTTATTTGTTTTCTCCAGAAGCTATAACAAATAAAAGAAGGAAACCATTTATATCTATGGTGAAGAGGTAAAGCACATAACATGCACATTTAACATATATCCCCTGAATTAATAAGAGATACTAAACCTGGATTGAAAGGAATGGATTTTTGTGAATTGGTCCTCCCTAAAACTTCTCCTATCTTCTAATTTGCTCTGAAACATTGGGGACTCTTCAGAACATCTGGGAAGTTATGCAGGGATTGCAAGGAAGATAACAGCAACATTTACATTGCATCTTTATTTATACAACTCAAGGCTTGATACAGAATGCTCCCACCTCCTATTTTCTCCACAACAATAACCCTGTGAGGTAGGTTGGCTGAGAGTGACTGGCCCAAAATCACCCAGATGGTTTTCTTGCCAAAAGAGACCTCATTGTCTTCCAGTTTCTAGTTCAGCACCTTAGACCAAACTGGCTCTCAGTTATTAATTATCTTTTGTTTTTTAAATTTCTCACCTCTTTTTCCAAATCATATCAACACCATCAAATTATGTCTTCCTCTTTTTTCCTTTCTCTTCACCCACTCAATTATATCCTCATTCATTCTCTCTTTAACCAGAACATTTCAAAGCATTTCTTCTGTAGTGCTGGCTTACTTGTCAGTCATATCTTCTTGACTCTATATTTTCTTATTTTTTTGTATTCAACTCTTTTTAGGTTTCTCCTGACATACCAGGCCCATTTGATTCACTTCCAGAAAAAAAGTCCAGAAGCACTCTTCTATACATAAAAAGTATTGCTTTTGACAAATATTCATTCCTTACAACAGATCATGTACTATTCATTATTTTTATGCTTCCTCTTTTTCCAACAACTTTCCCATCTTAAGAAAACATTCTATCAAATAGACAAAGTCATCTACTTGCTCTCATTTTTAACTATTTAGGTATAATTGATACATTAATTTTCAGATCTATACTCTTTTCACTGCATCACACAAATTAACTAACATTTACTACAAATCATGTATTTCTCAATAACTTACTGAAGAACAAATAATAAATCTCTAAAATACTCCTTCCAGCATTCTTTCATTTTACTTTCATCCCCAAATCATTTAATCACTAAATCACTTCTATTTTTAACTAGCTGTACCCGGCCACGCGTTGCTGTGGCTCAGTCTGGTTAAATGGAAAAGAAAGGAGAAAGCGCACGTTTGTAATATGTTTAATTTCACAATGCTTGTGGGTATACAATATTTTTTGTTGTTCCATTGTCTGTGCAGATATAGAGATTGTCTGGTTTGCCGACTCTAGAACACGCAACATATAATTGTCCATTACCTGTCACAGGTGTGACATCTATATAATAGTAGGTATATAAAAACACGCGCATATTCGAATGCAACATTGTGTCAAAATTTCAAAGCAATTGGTGAAGAACTTTCGGAGATTTAAGATTTTGAACAAACAAACATTTACATTTTTATTTATATAGATAGAAGATGTCATGCATTCTGATGGAAGCTCTTTGTGTAGCTTCTTCATGTACTTCCAAAACAATGTTTTATTTCTCTCAGAATTACCCTACATTTTGTCTGCCTTTTAACATTTTAACTGTAAATTGATTTTTTTATTTCATTCTTTGTAATTATGTTTTTGTCTACATACACATTATAAAACTTTTATTGTTTTTTGCAGCAATTGTTCTTTTATGTGGTTAATAATATACCATTGTTATTAATGCTCAAGCAAATTGCATTCATTCAAAATGTTGTAATTTTGAATGTTGTAATTTCTCCCCCCAAACTATTACGGTTATTATATTACCACCATTCATTGGAACACAACATGCAACTATCACCAACCTATGGATTTCGACTTCATACACAATCAGAACAACTTAGATTATACCAATTTACTATATATTTTCTGACATGATTTTAGCTTTTTCATCACTCCACAAGGATGACACTGCCCCACAAGATCAGATTACGTGCATTCAGATCTATGTATCCTTTCCCTTAACCTTAGTTTTGTCGATGTTTTTCTTTTATTTCACACATATCTGGAAGAATAGTAACATTAAGTAGATGTAGGGGAACATACCTTTTTTTTGGACTCCAACCCTTTAGATTTTTTTAGACTTGTTTTATACATACATAACATACAGTATATGTTCAGGGTTTTTTCTTTTTAAATTAGACTTCGATATATCTTTTATGCTTTTTAATGTACCCTATACTCCTTATACTGATTGTATCCTACCCACCTTATGCTGGACTACAATGTAATAAAGATTTGATTTGATCACATACTTAGTACTTTTCAGATGTAGATCAGTTTATCAGATTACTTAACACAATTGTAGCTGTGCCACATGCAAATTCCATACAAATGGTAAGAATAATATCAGCACATTTAGCAAATATAGGATATCAGCAATTCAATCAAAGCCCTGTTCACCACAAGCACAAGCACACTCACACTATTCTATTCAAGCTAAGAATACTAATCTAGAGGCTACACACTCTTGCCTGCGTGACACCAACTAGAGTATGTGCAATGTATTGACACATGAAATGATAATTGAACTGAACATTTTGAATGGAATGCTGACTGTCACTACAGTATATTTCTTTTCAATCTGTGTGAGACAGACAAGCTGCCACCTTCATTGGAAGGCAGATGCCACTGTCTTTTTAACATTCTTTTAATGTGTTTCAGTTAAGATGTCAAGAGAAGCAGACCTCGGCAACAGCTGCAATAGATTTTATTAGATTTTTGCCAGTGCATGGTATGAATATAGTACTTCAACCATTTGTTTTCAGTTTCATGAGCTATGACTGTGTTAATCTCTGTTCTCGGTCTTTGCTGCTCATTCTCCAAAAGGCCTTCCAAATAAAAATAAAAATAAAATTTTATTATTTCTGATTATTTTTATCTTAATCCATGAATATGACCCAGTTACCCAAGGATCAACATGAAAACACTAGAAATCTTGTTTATACAAAGCGACAAGTTGATTTCTGAATGAAAAGGGATGGAGATAGTCATTTTTATGGGGGGGGGGAATTGGTAGTATTTTTTAAAATATCATCGAGCTATTAATCAGAAAGCAAATGAGCAAATAAAGGTTAATTGGCTTGCTGCTGAAAATACTGAAGTCTGATGTAACGTCAAGCATAAACACAAAGTTAAAACCGAGAGTTCTTTAGGTTTTCAGTTGCAAGAAAATAGGCAATGACAAACTAACTGAAGAAAATGAAACGTAAAAAACCTCTAATGATTTTCTAGCTCTTAACAAACTTACTTCCTCATACTAATTGAAGATAAATTACCATGGGAATTTTCTATAATTTTATATAGTACTATAAAAATTGATGTCCTGGAAAACTGCTTTTGCCAAGTTTCTGTATAAATACCTCCAGGCAACAGGATTTGTTAGACTAAACTAGCTCAACATTAGTTCATAATATCTATTTACTGACACATTTGAAAAAGGAATAATGTGCCTTTGGGGAGTACAGTTATGACTCTGAGTCCTCTGTGTTTGATCTGCAACTATAATCACACAAATTAGGTATCTGAGATTATGCATATTAAAGCACTAGTAAGTTGCCAGTTTCACTGGTGATGGGCCTCAGGGTTTAATGCTCTCACCCTTCTGTTTAACATCTATATGAAACAGTTGGGAGAGGTCATCTATCAATTTAGGGCAGGATTCCACAAAGTGATCAATATCAACCCCGAAGCTTGAGGGGCCTATCCACTATTGTTATTGTTGTTGATATATTATATCAATATAACTATGAATGTTGTTATTCATAGTAATATTAACTAAAATAGTATTAAATTATTTTCATGTCATATATAGGGGTAGTTGTACAATCTGAAACCTCATGAAGGGGTTGACATGCTGAAGACTTTGGAGCTCTCTGGTTTAGGGTCTAGTACCATCAATATATTGTAGGTTTTGCCCTAGGCCCCCTCCAAGCAGTGCTGTTGATGTTTCTCTCCTGATGTTTGAGGATGTGCAAATCTGGTTGGGGAGAAACAGACTCAGGCTCTAACTTGACAAGTGTATTTGGATCCCCCAATTCTGGGAATTCTCTGTCTTCAGCTTGGATGGGATTGTACTTCCCCATTTGAAACTAGTGTACAATCTGGGGAGTTTCTTGGATTCACATTTCCTGCTCAAAAAAGCAGGTGGCAACTATGGTCAAGAAGGCCTTTGCAAAGATTCATCTAGGGCACTGTCTTTGCACTTGTTGATCATCAGGAGATCCTCCAAATAATCAAACACCCCTTTGTGATCTCACAATTGGACTGCCACAGTGCATTCTAAATGGGGGTTGCCCTTAAAGACCACTCAGAAACTACAACTAGACCACAATGCAGAGATGCAAAGAGTAATGGGCACACATCAGAATGCCCATGTGACATCATTGCTCTGTAAACTACATTGGCTGATACTTGGTTTCTGGGTGGTTATCCTGAAAGAAAGCCCTTCATCTTATGATTATGAAATATCACTGAATGATCACACTTACTATTTCTGATCACTGCAGCTCAAAAGAATTAGCACAATCAAGAATGAATTCATTGTAAAATGAAACTAATTTTAACATAGTAAAAGCAGACTACTATAATGCTCACTCATCCACTAATGCCTAGCTCTGTCATTCACATATTTTATGAATGCTTGTCTACAGAAAAAGATGGTAAACGTCAAGAATCTCTTCATTCCTTTTCATGCTAAGATATTATTATGAGAGCACAACTACTTTTACTTCTGGACTGACATTTGGTAGATAGTCAGGTCAGCATGCTTATTTTAAAAGTAAAGAAGCTGAACCATGATAATAAAAGGGAACTCAAACTTGTAAATTGTCAAAAGCTACAAATTTAATAGCTTTAAATACTCCTGTTTTCCTATGGGTCAGCATCTTCTAAAAAAATAGTAACACAACAACTATTATCGAACTAATTTCACAAACAGTCTTATACTCACCAAGTATATTGCTATGGGGAACCTAAACAAAGGCAGGTATGAAATTCAACTAAATAACTGCACAGCATATGGTAGAGTTGATAGTTGCTTGGGTGGGTTACAAAGAACGAATCACAATGATTCGACTTTTCTTGACAAATTAAGGAAAATACTAGCTTACTTTGGTAGTTAACCTACCAATGGTGTTCTTAAACAATGTAGAACATACATTGAGTAGGCTGTCAAGGAAGTTAGTCCCAAACAGTTTCACCCATCACATCCTCAGTATATATCCCAAAAGAAGACTGTTTTGACCATGACAAGAGCGTTCCTTTTTCATCTCCTCATCACTACATATTCCATAGGCTTCTGAACTTGCAATTCAGAAGAATTTCATAAGTCGATTCTAATTATCCCTCGTTTCTCTATCAACTTTATGTTGGAGTAGTAAAGTAATGAAAATGTTTGTATGTCTCCCGCATAGCCATAATCCTAGGCAAATTTACAAATGTAACATTGTTCAATGTTAAAAAAATAATGGTAATAGCTCTGCAAATTTAAGAACATGTTATATTTGGAAGCCACTTTTGCAATGCAACATCTCAGCAGTGATTCAGACCTACTCACCAGTTCTAGACACTGCCTGTGTCCATAGGCAGCAGCATAGTGCACAGTATTATAGCCATCTCTATCTTGGATTGAAGGGTTCGCTTCATTTTGAAGAAGAAATTCTAGACACCTGTGGATTATTTAGAAATATAAACAAAAATGTTACCATTTAACTATATGTTAAATGATACCAAGATAAACATTCACTTAATGTTAAAATATTGAATACCAACTTTTTATTTCTACTTAACTGAATCCTGCACCTGTTGAATCTTCAGTTCTGCCATATTCACTGGGATTTTGTACAATGGTAATGGCCTGGAAGTTACATACTTGCTATAAGATGCAATTAAAAGCATTCCCACTATACCATTTTCTATAATGTTTAGTTTCTATAAGTGAATTAACCACATATTAAATATGTTTTCTTATGCGGAGGTTTAGCCAGATTTGAGTTACATTCTTCTCAACTGAGGGTTCCAAGATGCAGCAATAAGAGTTGCTATCTATACAGCCAAAGACAGCTTTTGTGTTTCAAATAACCACACAGTGATAATGAGAAATGCTTTTGTCACTTTAGCTCTTCAATGACTATCTACTAAAATGTTATTTGCTATGCAGCTATTCAAACTGAAGAAACTATTTGGGATATTGGAGTCTAACATAGTTCCCAATAATTACTAATTTTTAATGTCAATTGCTTTTGTTATGTTACTTTTTTTAAGGAAATTTTTTACGACAGAGATTTGATACATCACTAACTACTATGTATATTCAAGATATTGGTTATTGATATAACAAAATCTACAACAATAATCAGAAAGATACCAACTCAAAGTATCACGTTTATGAAGGGAAGATTTTTCTTACAGTAGTGATTACAATATTCATGACATAAAGACAACAGAGCCAATCTTCAAGCCTTATTAAAAGGCTACAGCAGCAACTAACACACATATACACACACATCTTTAAAAACACAGACATACATAGACATAACTAGGTCAACACATGTAGACTATCTTCTATGGACTTCTGGGGGGGGGGTGCCAGGAAAGAGTATAGCAGTTTGAAATTAGGGGACTTTAAATCTATTCCTTGCAAAGGTCAAATTTGCTAAACTTTTTAGACTTCTGTCAATTATTACTTGCTGTAGGGATGGGGAAATCTGTTAGAGTTAAGATTATGATTCTGAAAATTAATGAATTCTAGTTGATTCCACGTGGCATAAAGGGAAATTTTCTGGCATAGACAACAGACGTTTGTTTCTGAACTTCTTCTTCTAAATCCTTGACATGTACCAAGCTGAAATAAGTAGAGACATCTGCAGCAAAACTCATTTCAAAGTTTTTGGACACTATTAAGATCTCATTATTACATTTTCCCGCCACCACTGTATTCTTTTAGTGATATCCAGTGAACTTCTCCAAGTGACTTGGAACCTTCTGAGTTCTCATCCAATAGAAGAGAACCTAAAGTAGTTTCATGTGACATGCCATCATGATCCTTTGAGAGCAAAATTTATTGTAATCATCTTGACTTGGATTCTGCAGTTTTGACAGTTAGATAGTAGAGGAATTCAGGACAGCTTTAAGGCATGACAATGTGCTCAAGGAACTTCATAGAGTTCAAACAGGCATTTATTTGCTCAAACTTTGCTTCTCATGGCTTATTCAAGTAATAGAAAGGGAGTGTTTAGCTAGATCCAGGCGTTTATACGTTTCTTCTTAAAAGCAGGAATGGTACAATCTTAATTAAAGAAAGCAGGCAAACATCTTTCAAGGAAGGCTACTTGAGCTGTTAGTAGATAATCAGATCCAGACAGTCTTGAATAAAATTGATTTTTAACAGAGGTAAACCTTGGTCTTGGCACTAAATGTGCCTTGATTAGGTGGTGGGATAATCCTTTCTTTACATGCAGAGAAATGTGGAATTGCTTCTACAGGACTTTTCAGGTGTTTCTGATACAATCCATTATTTTGGAGGGATTGGGTTAGCTCAATCTCTATATCAGGGGTGTCAAACTGCCGGCCTGCGAGCTGGTTGCATCAGACGGAGGCCACGCCCACCCCAGCTCCGGCAATGCAAAAAAAGTTGTGATACATCGCGACATGTCACATGACGCGGCGAGTTTGACACCCATGCTCTAGATAGTGCTACTGGGGAATTTCTGCTCAAGGCTATATCATTTAAATGGTTTGGTGCCATGCTGTTCAATGTTTACATTAAACTGCTGGGGGAGATCATATAAAATTTTTAATGAAGTTCCATCAATTTATTGATAATATGCCAGTTCTGTAGTACCTTTTTATCAGTTTCAGGTAAAGATTAGTCGGTGTAACTATTCAGTAATGGGGTCTATTGGATAAAAGTCAGTAAATGTAGCCTCAGCCCAAACAAGATGGATTTCTGTTAGTGGACGGTTAATCAATTTAGGTGAATGAGTGACTCATGTTCAGTCAAAATGATTAAAGCAATATTATTCCCTCAAACTGTAAGCATTGCTCTTTTTAGCTCTGCATGCATTGCTATGAAGCATGTATGAAAGGAGGCCCTGCCAGTGTCATGATATTGCTTTCATCATTTTGCAGATGGCTATGTAACTTTTTAAAGTAGCTAAATATGAAATAAGCCAGTACACATAAACATATATCTACATCAATACACAAGAATGCTAATGGTTAGCATTTTATGGTTTCAGATGTCAAATCCAGCACTAAACAGAGAGACAGAACAAAACTAAGGAATGGACATAACTGCAACCCACAAAAGGAGAAGCGTAATGCAGAGATGTGGTCAAAGCGCTGTACTGATGCCAAACTTACAATGCAGCTTCTTTTTCTTTCTTTTCATTGGATCTTTCAATTTCTTCAGAGTTTTCATGGGAGTTACCCAAAATATTCTTTCTGAATGAAAAAGGCAACTCATTTTGAGATTCTTTGGTATAAACTACTCTTAATCGTTTCACTTCAAACAGTAAATACATTTATGAGTGCTACCAGGAAACTTTTAAATATAAATGTTTCACAGATTGGCATATGGCAGGAGTCATAAAGAGCACTCAGAAATGGGAAGTATTTCTAGGGTCCTTATTCTACACCACAGCATCACATTCAGCTACAGTATTTTTGGAACTGCTTTCTGATATTTATCATTTCATCTCGTCTTTGCTAGATACAGTCTCCCTCACCAATTCTAACCTGTCCCTCACCAATAAAAGTATTCATGAAACTACCTATTTGCAAGGAGAAAGTAATGTATCTCATCTAGAAGAAATGTTCTATTGGATCCTCTACAGTCCAGTGTTTCTCAACCTTGGCAACTTTACGATGTGTGGACTTCAACTCCCAAAATTCTCCAGCTAGCAACACTAGCTGGAGAATTCTGGGAGTTGAAGTCCACACATCATAAAGTTGCCAAGGTTGAGAAACACTGCAGTCTACACAAATACTACTTATGTGTTCAACTCCTCCAGAATCCTCTCTATTCTAGACCCTTCCTAAAAGGCTTCTGCAATGGCAGAAATTGCAATCATGTCTAATTCAATGCAAGTACAATATGAATTGGTATTAGCTGTGACACCAATATCAAAAGACAGTGGATAATAAAAAAAGTTGTTGAGAATACTAGAGTATAAAAGTATCATTCTTATTTTAAAGATATTCTCCCATTGGTAAAAGTATAGATGAAACACATAGAGTAGCTAATCAGAACAAGTAACAATGACAGCCATATTTTCTTTCTCTCTAAATCCACACACCATTTCTTATGTAAGCACAAATTAAGATCTATAAAATATTGTTTGCAATAGCTTGCTGATTCATTGAAGGAGGCATGAGGCCTACAGCTTCATAATTGCTATCTTAGCAATGTATTACATTAGTAATTCATCTTGATGATGATCTTAGTTTGTTCATTATTATCAGGGCTTTTTTTGTCATAGAACGCCCAGAACGGAGTTTTGGTTTTTTTTACAAAAAAAGCACTGATTATTATAATCACATTCTTCCTCAATACAGAAGCCTTTTATGTATCCATTTAACTTGCAACTGACAAATGAGCCAACAGCAGTAAGACAACATCGTCATAGTTTCTCTCCAATGTTTAACAAAAACATTGTGGTCCATTTAAATTCTTCTGAAATTGGTTTGTTAATTTTTAATTTTAACTTAAACAATTTTTTTTACCGAAAATGCCAAAAAAAAAAATTCTAAATGACCAAACACCACGTGTGTATTCACAGTGATGGAGAATAAATACATGCAATTATAGAAATACAAGTGGTATTTTAATTTATGTATACAACTGTATACACACAGGTAGAAAATTTGCAATATACTGTATGGAACTGGGCTTTAATTTATTTGTGGTTAAAAGCATTATTAATAATTTTACACATAATATTACCTTCAAAACACAATATAAATACCATGGATAAGTGAGACATTATTTCATTAGATTTCATAGATCCACCCAAAATAATTGGAAAATGATGTAACATGGAATTTTTAAATTTTGACTGGTTGCATCTCTGGTTAATATACAGTATTATTCTCATTACTAAACCAGTTCTCCCATCACCCTTAAATGTTTAATTAATACTGTACATGTCCCTTCAAGGTCACTGTCTGCAGAACAGTGTAGCTCTTAAAATTACAAAATTATTTTTTCCCCTAAATCAATCTGTTTATCAAGACAGCTCCAAGTAACAGTATGTTAAACTAGGTATTTTTTTTCTATGCATGACTTTATTTTTCAATAATGAAAACTAAGGGGGGGGGGATTGACTCAGTCATCCATCATAATTCTCTATCTTCAGACACACTTTTCAAATAAATCTTTTTATCAAGAGTTAAACATTTTTCTAATAACCTACTGGAGAAAAGGTCATGAATTTGATGGCACACAGTAGTATGATCCATCAGGGAATTTTAATGATCTCAATGTGTAAATTATATAAAACTTAACTTCCAGTGGGAAAGATGAACCTTTTTTTTATTTCAACTGTATGGAAATTCATAGCTCCCAAAAAACCAGCTATTCAATTATAGCCTTTCCCCAGAGTTCAAGATATTGTTACTTGCTCTCAGAATAGAGGCAAAAGTGCATGAAGTTTATCATTTTTAAATATGAATAAATCATAAATCTATTCTGTTTTATAAGCACAAATCTTGGCTGAGCCCCAGAAGCTTCTTTCCGATTTCAGTTTTCCAATTAACAATGTGTGTACAGTCACACATGTGGTATAGATATACATATGTATATGTGTCTCTATGCATCCCCATATGTGGGTGTGTTTGTTCAGTGAAGTCCTGCTGACATTGGGATAAAAAGATAGGATTGTTAGGATAGTTGTCTTTTAGGAGATTGGAGAACACTTCAGATCAGCCTGCCGGCCAGATGTATCATGGCGAAACGGCACCCACCCATTGCTGGCAATGGAAAAAAAGTCGCAATATGTCGCAACACATCACGTGACATTGCGAATTTGACACCCCTGGCATAGGAGAATATTGGGGCTTGGCTAATGAAACTAGGGGAGAATAAAGTACACATGAGCTAAATTACTTATCCACTTACTATGGTAGAGTTGTTCTTTTAACTGAAGACAAAACTCCTTTCACAATATATTTAGGGTAGACTAATATTTTTCTTAAGGCATACTAAGGAAATATTCAGTTCATAAGGTCTATCTGATACATCAACATGGCAAGCCTTATACATGTAACTATAAATCAGATGCAGATACCAAAGACAGTAAATTTACAAGGACGGCAGAGATTGTCCTTGTAAATTGCAGCTGCCCATATATACAAATGGTATCAATATACATATTTACTCCTTCAATGCATGAAATTATAAATTTTCTCCACTCCCTACATTTTATCATAATAAAAAAATGATTTCTTCAGAATTTGATGGAATTGTTTTAGATATTATAGGATATTTAGATTTTGAGAACCAGTTTATAGAGGAATACTTCATTTAACGTTATCATTTTAAAGAATATATTGCTAGAAATCTTGTGCTTCTGATATAAAGAACTATATTATGAAATGAGCACCAAAGCCAGAAATATTGTGGCATAGTGGAACACAACATGCTTACAATTTCAACATTCATTCAAACTAAAAGAAAATGTAAAGTTTCAATCACAGGGACCATTAAGAATATAAAGAGGATATTTTAACTCCATCATAACGTCATGCTCCTTACAAACCTTTATCCCATTGCTTGAAACTTAAAACTATTTTACATCTTCATATGACAAGAGTTTTCTGAATGTCTCCTCTAATTCAAGAAAATTTAATATTCAGAAAAAAGCTTAAGAATACCAGTCTAGAGGATTTTTGAGCAACTGGATAGTTTTATATGCAAAAAATAATGATATTTTTTTTTTAAAAAAAAACAACTGTCATTTTTGTTGTTCAGTAGTTTTGTTAACATTTCGGAAAACAGATTAAACATTTATATGCCATATCTAACCATGTGAAAAGCAGTAGCAAGGTAAACACAAAAAAAGGGAATAAAAGATAAAGAAGTTGAAGCTGGTTTATGCAGAGATCAGCAACCTAGAAGGAACCATGCAATTGCAAAAGTAACTCAATATGCAGGAGCAAGTAGTTACTGAAAGCAATTCTAGTAGCTGGGACATTAAAGAGGTATTTGATTCAAAGGGGGAGTTTTTGCTTAAATGAGATGAAGAGAATAGAAATGACACCGGCTTAGCAATGAATTAGAAACAAGGAATATAAATAAGCTTGTTTACTTTCTGTCCATGTCTGAGGCTGCAGCATAATGTAAAGCTGTTCGTTCCCAGTCATCAGTTTCATTAATATTGGCCCCCGCAGTTACCAGCATCTCAATACATTGAAAATGACAATTTGCAGCTGCATAGTGCAAAGGTGTTCTGAAAAATAAATAGAAACATATTAGCCAAGGCACTACTTGAGTAACAGGATACGATTATGTTAACTGTTTCTGACAGCAACATTACTATAGGGAGAACCCATTTCAAGGTACAACAGCAGTATTTAATTGAATGCAGAACATATTCGTTCTTTTGCAGTGAAGATTTGAAATAAGCATACAAGAAATGGCTAAGAAGTGAACCAACAAAAAGGGTATGAAATGCTATTCAGCTAACTATAAAGAATAAAGCATAATAAACCACTGGCTTACTGTAAAAATAAATACGATTTGTTAGAAAGGAAAACACTGTACAGAAAGATATCTAAGCTGTTGTCATTATAGTAGTTAGAAAACAAGATACTCATATGGCTTTTACTGCATGCCTAGTAAAAAATTAATTATTTAATTTTAGGGGGGAAATGTTCAGAAGGTAGGGTAGGAGCTTTGTTTCCTCTTTCAGATGTCTAAAAGTTGCTTAGTTAAAGTGCAGAAATACAAGAGATAACTTAGAGTGACTAGAAGAAAGGTACCTTTTAGAAAAACTCTTGATTCAGCTGCTTAAATGATAACGGAGACAGTGCAACTGCCTATTCTACACTTAATTTTTTTATACTGAATCGTTATTTCTAGGCAGCCATATATATGAACTCTGGTGCAAACTAATATAGAACAAAACTATTCAAATCTTACTAGCAAGAATATACCATTGATATAGCATATATCTGTCTCTTTTAGGATTACACTTTGGACAGGAAAGGTTTATTTCCTATAAAGGAAGTTGTAACCTTATACTGTAATAAACATAGCCATTGCTGCCATATGTCTGAGTCTTAATTCTATCCTGTTATGTTTGCACTTCACCTAGTAGGTATAAGTAAATGTATTGTTGTTATTATTACATAATCTCAAACTTTGCTTTTACTTTGGGGAGCAGAGGGGAGGGGAGGAGAGGAGAGGAGATCATCCCAGGTTTAGGATGCTAGTTAACCTATATCGTTCAATGGATTCCCAGTCTGGAAGCAACATGTTTCTCCATTGCCAAAGAAAGGTCTCCTGCATTATCGGTCAAAAGATACTGTGTAAACATTATATATATTTTTTCTCCCTGACAGATTTCCTCAGAGGAGGATTACAAATTGAGAATGTTCACATCTGAATTCAGTGCTAATCCCACAAACAAAGAAGGATAAGTAACTGAGCAATAATAGTCTTGTCTGACATCCTACATGATATTCTTGAACTTGCCAGAACATTGTTGGCATTAAGAATTGTAACAGATGTTTTCCAGAGATGAAGTATGACAGCCAAGCATGAACGCCTCTTAATCCTGCTCAGCTAATTCCAGTATCATGAAACTGAGATCTAGATTTCCACATTGATTTTTAAAGTTTTTGTAAGTTACAAACCTTCCATATTTGTCTTTTTTATTTACATCTGCTCCACTGCTCTGCAAGAGTTTCACACAATCAACATTGCTGCAAAGATACAGAAGGAAAAGAATGCATAAATAGAATAAAATAGTGCTGATGGGGAAAAAAATCTAAAGTTGAAAAAAAAACATGCTTAACCATTCAGGAACTGGGAAGAACAAACTACAACATAAAATATGAGTAAAACAGTAACTGTTAGCCTTTCATGACATGGGTCTAGGTTACTTCAGGAACTGTTTAATCCCACTGGGATTGGCCCACCCTACCCGTGCTAGCAGAGAAAGAATGCTGCAGGCCGTGTCAGCCAAAGAATTCCAGCTGATGGGGTCCAGGAGAAGAGCCTGCTCTTCTGACATTCCCACTCTCCTGACATTCTGCAAGAGTTTGAAGACCTGGCTCTGCCAGTTGGGCAATGGGGCAACATCACACTGGAAGTGGTTGATAGATTAATAATAGATCCCACTTCTCCCCCACTCGTCCCCCACTCATCCTACTCCCTGCCTCCCTGGGAAAGCCAAGGGAAATCATCAAAACAATTAAAAAACAAAAATTAGAATATTTCGGACATGTGATGCGACACCCAGAAAAATACGCCATACTCCATTTAATCCTCCAGGGAAAGATTGAAGGTCCAGGCAGAAGAAGAACACCATGACTTCAAAATCTAAGGGATTGGTTTGGACAAAACTCAGCAGCACTTTTTCGTGTGGCTGCTGATAAAAACAGGATCGCCAACATGATCGCCAATGTCCGATAACGGATATGGCACAAGAAGAAGAATAGCACTTAGACTTATATACTGCTTCACAGTGCTTTACAGCCCTCTCTAAGAGGTTTACAGAGTCAGCATATTACCCCCAACAATCTGGGACCTCATTTTACCAACCTCGGAAGCATGGAAGGTTGAGTCAACCTTGAGCCAGTGAGACTCAAACTGCCAAACTGCTGGCAGCTGGGAGTCAGCAGAAGTAGCCTGCAGGACTGGGCCACCAGAGATCTTATAGCTGATAATTTGTATTTTATAGTGTTTTATTCTTATTGGATACATTTTGTTGCATTGATTTTTTCTTTTTAACTTTGTAAGCCACCCAAAGTCACCTCATGGTAAGATGGGCGGCCAAAAAAAATAAAAAAGAAATTGAGAAAATAGTGTGTAAGCATGTCTTCCTCAAACTCTAAAACAGGGGTAGTCAACCTTGGCTCTTTTTCCTGAACATAGCTGGCTCAGGAATTCTGGGAGTTGAAGTCCACAAGTCATAAAAGAGCCAAGGTTGACTACCCCTGCTCTAAAACATCATTTGTACTGGTTAGCATGTATAGGAATTATTCACAAAGCCTTTATCAGAATGTACCAGTGCTCATTTTAGATGACAACGCAATCAGCCCTTGGAAAAGAAGGATTCAGAATTCACACCTGCATACATGAGCCTCTGAGTTGGTCATTACAAATGAAATCAAGCATTTTCCAAGGCAACAATCATGTGAAAGTTTCCACATAGGGATCCCAATGTGCTGTCTTAATTGCTATCTGAACAAGGTTAAAAAGTATTTGGCTCAAATTGAGAGCAGCGTCTAAATTTATGTACCAGCACTGCACTATTAAAAACAGACGTCTTGCTTCACTTATTAAGGTAGACTTGCTAATTTCCAATTAATCTGTTCTAAAGCTTTATCAACCATAAAACTATATGTTATAAAATTGTTGAAGATGATATGATAGAAACATACCAAATACATATTTCACGTGGCTTTTTGAGAATCTTAAAACTGGCCAAAAACGTTTTTCAGTGGGATGAACATGGTAAAAATATGTGTACCATATTATTTTAATTTACCTCTCGGGAAAAAAATATTTTATTACTGTATTTTGTGACTGGCCAAATACTGACTTCACTGCTGGTATTCAAACATTCTAACTTTTCTCCTCTCTGTGATACAGTAGTATGAATGTTTGCAAGTTCAAAGGTAAAGACATTCCAAAAATAATTATTTAAACCAGTACTGTAAAGGCTCAGCTTCATTGTCTCTACCATTGCACATTCACAACTGATTGAAATAATGGATGCTGAGTTGTTTTGCTTGAAACAATGGAGTAGGTATAGTCCTTTTCAATAGCTACTTAACAAAAAAACAAAATAATATTTTGTGGACATACACCTGTCAAGGTTGCTATGACAGTAAAGCACTTTATTGTTAAGACAAGAATCTATCATGTGTTAGATTAGCCTGGCACCTTCCAGATATACTGAGGTTTCCAAACCAGAATGGTCTTTAAAAAAAAAGAAAAAAAAAAGTACTTAAACCTCACTTAGGGATGCAACATAAGCAAATATGTCTATTTAGAAGAACATCTGACCAAAGTTCAGAGAACTTTAGTTCCAGTTAATCATATTTAGCAATATAACTTAGGACAAGCTGTTAGTTTACAGCTGAATCTTAACATCTTGATGTTTAGCATATTTATTTATTATTTATGTATTATATTTTTATCTGCCTTTATTAGTTTATAACTCAAGGCAGCAAAAGTACATAATACTCCTTTCTCTATAACAACCACCTTGTGGGAGAGAGTGACTGACTGGCCCAAAGTCTCCCAGCTGGCTTTCATGCCTAAAGTGGGGTTAGAATCAGTTCCCTGATTTCTAGGCCAGTACCTTAACTAGTACAGCAAACTGGTCTTCTCATATGGCCAGCATACAAGAGGTTCATTCTAGAGCAGACATGTCAAACTTGCGATGTCATGTGATGTTGCGTGACGTATTATGACTTTTTCCCCATTGCCGGCAATGGAGTGGGCGCGGTTTCAGGATGATGCATCCGGCCTGTGGGCCGGTAGTTTGACACCCCTGTTCTAGAGGACCCTAGTTATGCTTATTGCGATGAAAGTAAGGCAAGGAAGGGGCTGGCCTACAGCTGCAATACCTTGTTTCCTTTCCATGTATGGAAGGACATGTGAATAACTGAACAATTCAAGGAAGAAAGTTCCTTAGTCTCACTATTCTTTCTTCTCCTGGCTAGAGAAGTAGACCTTCCACTTTGATCCTTCCCAGATCTACTGAGATTGCTCTGTTCTCTATTACTAATACTTACCAGCCATGTTCAGAATTACGATACATACCCTTAAGGAATCTTTTTTTCCCTGAACCTTTAGACAATTCTTAGTTAAATATGTGAATAACAAGAGCATTCTTTTTAAACAAATTACATAAATTTAATCTCATTAATTTAGTCAGGAAGAACACTGCACACAATTCATTTTAACACTGCTTAATTTGTTCAAGACCCTTTGACTCGAAGTTATCTTGCACACAGCCTACTGTGATGAATGGGAACAGCAGAAAAAGACAAAAAAAGCACAGCTTTAGATCATTTCAATACATTTATAAAGTGCAGGGGAATATTCTGTTGAGAAATGTCTTGAATGAGCTAAGAGAAACCTTGAAATACATTTGATGCATCGGCTCTTTCAAGTGTAACTAAAGGAATTGTTCATATTCTTCTTCCATCAATCTCTTGACTGGAAGAATTGTGTTACTGTGCAGTCTATGGCCTGCTTTTTTCTCTCTTATCCCTTAAAACAAGTCTTCAGATGCATAAATTTTAGAATGGTAGATGTTCACCCTTCCTTTTTATAGCTTGCCTTTGATACAAGGGAAGGCACACTCTATTAAAAGGAGTGATCTGGCTGTAGAACTATGAGTATTTATTTTCTTTCCTGTCTGGCAACTCTGTTTTCCAGGACAGTAATTTACAATTTGGCCTATATTATAGAACAAAGTATGGGCTTGTCTGGTCTAGCCTGAATGTGCAATGAAGAAAAATCCTACCCATTTGGGAAAGAAAGTAACAAACCTAGAATATAACTTTTGTCCTTGAATGCAGGTCCATTTAGTGTGTGTGTGTGTGTGTGTGTGTGTGTGTGTTTACTGCTATCTGGGCTAATTCAAATTTGCAAGTGTAGACATCTGAAAGAATTCTGGTTCAGTATAGGAATGGATGTGAACACATTGCCCCTGTCCTGCTTTTCCTTTATGGCACAGCAGCCAATTCCTTGCAATACACTGGAGGGCAACCCATTTCTGGGTGAGGGAAAATCTGCCCTATTAAAGAGAAACAGCCCCTAGGCCCTGGAAAGGATTCCCCACATGACAGCGGATAAAAAAGGGCAAAAGAGAAGTGGCTCAAAATTTGGGTCTCATATCTCTTCTTTTACACTATTCCCACATTACTTGGCCCATCAAAACATTTTATGCAAGAGCCAGAACCCACCATTAATTTGTAAAGATTAATCGTTACAGATGGGGTTTTCAGCCTGATAAACTGCAGTGCTTGTGTGATGGGTTAGGAATACAATGACCAAAAAAGGAAGAAAAACCACTTGAGGGCGAGGAAGCCTAGTCTGTGATAGGGAAACAATGGTACCTACTTAACTGAAGCAAAACATAGTTTGTCATGTGCAAAAAGAGAGGGTTTTTTTTCTAAAGTGAGGTAAGTGTGTGTGTGTGTGTGTGTGTGTGTGTGTGCGCGCACACTCATGCATTCCACAAAAGAGGCCTCATAAATTACAGTAGTTTTTGTGTCATTTTGCTGTTCCTCTTTGGGGGGAAAAATTGCAGGGAAACCACAGAGCTAAAATTACATATATCTATTACAGTTGTAATTTTAAAACTACTCACCCTCCTGCAGCAGCAGCATGGAGGCACGTCCTTCCAAATTTATCTGGGGTGTCTATTTCAAAGCCTGCAGACAGCACGTGCTCATTACTAAACAAGGACACTATGCTATACTTTTGTCCTAGTTAAACCGCAAGAAACATTGCAGAGACAGAAAAATCAGTTAGTAAGAAAAAAAATCAGAATGAAGACACAACTGTAGTCAGCAAGAGGTTGTTATGGAAACGGACAGTGTCTGTTCAAGCTTGGCCGCTACAGAAAAAAAAAGAACCATAAAGTCAAAAAGAATCTATTTTCACATCCAGCCCATTGCTATTGAAGTATTTAAATCATGCAGTAGGCATTTCAGGAGCAGACTTTCAAGAGAAGTGACAGCAGGCATGAAGGCAGAGACCTCTGTGAGGAAAATGAAGTCACAAGAATTGCCTCAGCATGCATCAAAAAGAGTTTTATTTACTAATGGCTTCAGATTTTGTACAGGAACAGGAAATGATGATTTTCTAGAGAAGGACAGATATTTTCTATGGAGAGCAGCACATTTTTACTGCAGCAAGAACCACAGTTAAGGAGGGGGTAGATTATCTCTGTGAAATTGCAAAAAAGGAGAAATGATTATCATTTCCCTTAAGGCAACAGACAGTGGATTCACAAGGATGTCAAACTGACTTCTGACTGCTTCTTTATCTGCATTATCCCCATCTCATTCCTTCACCAGAAGTTGATGGGGGCTTCTGCCATAGAGAGATGGAGAAATGGAAAATGACCAAGGCCACAAATTGTTTGAAGTGACTTAATAAAAAAAGAACTGAGCTTCACTTAAGATGTTCTATGGCTCTGAAACTAGATTTAATGTTTGTTTAGTATGATGATGATAAGGATAAAAACTAAGAGATTAAAGAGACTCATCATAATTCTCCCACACTTCTGCAATCTCATCCAGCCAGAGAATACAAGTGCTCTAATATTGGGCATTTGAAAATGCAATCAATTACTATCTTACTAAAAATGTCTAGAAATATACTTGTAAACCAGCTTTCATTATCCTTCCTTTGCCATACTGTACTGATTTTAACATTAATGGACAAAATAACAGATGCTCCCTCTACAGAAAGACATCTTGTAAGGATTAGAACTGATGGCAAATTTTGCCCAATGGAGGACAAGGCCTAGTTGGTAGGCCAGAGCAAAGGACAGCTGCTTCACTACTTTTGGAGAACAAGTAGTTAGCCACTTGGAATAGCCCATATTATGGGAAACTGATATTCCAAAATCAAAGACTAGCATATTGGTCTTGAATAGTGATAACAGCCATTAGTTCTATTGTCTCACCATTATTGTTCATCAAAAATGGTGATGAAAAATTGCACATAGAGTCCCTGAGCACTGCTTGCTGTAAGTTTGATCCTCCCATACAGTCAAATTAAATTGCCTTAATTTATGACATCAAAAATATTTACAAGACAAAAATAATTGTATGTAGTTTGCTTTAATCCAGTTTATTATTTGTGGATTTCTATAGGACTGCAGAATGCCACACAATTCAATAATAAAAAACAAGTGAGATTGAAATTAGAAATTTAAAATAAGATTAAGCTTTCAACAAAGGATATGGTAAAAAAAAAACAAGTGAAGGCTACAAAAGGGAACAACCTGATTTCCTGTTTATACAATGCATTACATTTTTATCATGTATCTGGGAACCAAAAAACAGCCCTATTCTAAAGTATGTCCTATTGGCTTATTATTAAACTAGATTTGTTGAGAATTCTGGCTTATTCAAGGTAACAGTCAAGCAAGCTAGTACATACTTCCCAAATATTCCTATCTTGAAACCTTCTACAAGCCAGAATGGAAAATAATCAGAAACATACCAGCCATAGAAAGCTTACCATTGGTGAGATCTGCAAATCCTCTAACAAGCCAGAATTGTAAATAAATTATGAGACCTCTCAAACTTTGCAGTTTGGGTTTGGATGTAAAATTAATCTTATTTTGACTGACAGAAGTCATTGTAATTTACTTGAGGGGATAAGCAGAAGCAACTGTGGATTTAGTAAATTCCTGGTGGTGAGAAGAACTAAGAACCAAAATCCACACAAACCTGGTTTACCTTGTGGCAAATTATTGAGAACGAGCCAGCTCATTTCCAGGTAATCAGGTGGTTATTTCATAAACAAAAAGCTCCTTTGATTCATAGAAAGGATTTCAGTTTAACAAAGGCTTGTTCAATGATGCAGCTGTGTTCCTCCACCCACAATCAAGACCCATAGAGTTGCTCTCCACCTTGTGCCCCCTGCCTGTAGATTTTGCAAGGCTCCACAGATAGAACAGCAAATGACAAAAAACACTCCCCCTCTTTTCCTCCAGAAATAGTACAATATCCTATAACCGGTGCTCAAATGACCATTCTCTATGGTCATTAAAGAAGGGGACAGCATTCAGCATGCTTTAAACACAGACAATACATAAAACAGGATTGTGTATACATTCAAATAGGAACACATAGATATGCACATATAAGCATACAACAGTATGTGTTTGAAACAAAATGTAAGGCCTTCAGTTTCTAAGTACGTGGACATACATTAGTGACCTATAAGCAGCTCATTCACAAGGTTAGTTTTACATTCTCTTTTGCATTTGCTTACCTGATGAAAGCAACTTCCTGCAGCAGTCAGCATGTGCATTAAGTGCTGCCAAGTGTAAAGGAAACATGCGATGGATACCACATCTGCAAAACAAACCAACCTCTGATATAAACATTTCTTCAAATAAAGCTTGTAGACCTCTCTCTGTATATGTCTTTCTTCTAAATCTATTTGCTACAGGGAAATTTGGGGTTACAGTATTTCAGAGTGATAGGACGGCAATATGTTTTCTAGTGCTATATGGTAAAGCATTACAAAAATTTCCTGCTTACTAAATAACGATCCCTTCCAGAACCAATTTGTAATCTCCCTGTCATGCAAATATGTTATCAGACAGATTGTACATGTCCAAGAATAATCTACTAGGATTCATTAGAACAATTTCCAGGTTACATCTTAAAATTTTCCTATCTGAATATAAATAAGTCAAATTTAGTTATTTACTCCTTCATCCCCCTACACATAATTATCTCAAATAATGCCCTTTGACTTTACTTCTTTGATCATTCTATTTGCAAAGCTTCTGCTTCTGGATGCCAATTTGGAAGGACACAAAATGATCTTGACAAAAAACGATTCAAATTTTCATTTTATGTCCCAGATATATTATCCCATCCCGACATTGATGTCTACCTAATGATTTCAAGCGGGATTCTCACTTCACTGGACATCTCAGGCACTGACAGAGGTGTTTTATTTGATCAACATATAGGTCATTGAAGCATGAAATAGAAATTTTGAGCGGATAACCTGAATTGCTGAACCCTTTTCTCTCACTGATGCTCATTTCTGTCTTCAGCAGTTAGAAAAGGAATGGATTAAAATTCATATAGAAAGAAGCCAAAAATATTGTAGATCATATCCTTGTAAACCTCTTTTCTAATAACAGTTTGTGGTATTTTTTACCAGAAAGAAAATATAGCAATAGTTCTGAATTGTACATTCCAATCATAATATTAGATATAGAAATCGTAAAGGTTGAAATAAAAATATAATTTCTGTTAATTGCAAATGTAAACAATTTGTTGATCCTGTCTTGCTATGGACTTTAGTCAAAGCTATTGGTGTCATACAAAATTAATGGGTTTAAAAACAAATTTAAAAAGGGTTCAGCAGTCATTAATCCACCTTAAATATTCACACGATATTACCAACTGTTGCTAAATAGGCCATCTTCCCAATCCAAGGTGATGATACACTCTAAAGTTAATGATATAATTCTATAATTTGGAGCATTACTTCTTCAGAAACTTACTTGGCAGCATCAGCTCCACTGGTTATTAAGGTATTAATCAAAAGTTCATGTCCATATCTTGCAGCCACATGAAGGGGAGTGTTGCCATCCTTATCAACACAGTCAATTTCACCTCCTGAATATGTCATTTTAATATGAAAATATTATGTAAGAATCAAGTGCAATTTAACAAAAAAAACCTAACACATTATTTGCAAGCAGTAGAGAGTTTCAAGCCAGCAAAAGAAATTATACAACTGTCTTTTCACTATATACAATATATTATTTGAGATACAAATATGAAATCATTAGCAATGAATTTATTGAATTATTATATCATATATTACTAATCAAGAAATTGTACACTATTGGATCTAGTATTATATATTCTGAAGGGGCAACCAAAGTACATATAATTATTACTATACAACTTTGATACTGATACACAAAACTGCTAACAAGCCTTAACACAAACAGAACACATTATGACTTAATATGATGACTTGATCACTATAACACATTAAGGCAATGGAACATTATGAATTACAAAGTACCAAATTCCATCATTCAAGGACTTGACCAATTGACCAATTCAAAAAGAAAAAAAATAAGACAATTCTATCAGGTGAAAACCCGTGGGTGGCATTTTAATTTCGCATACAATATTTTACTTAAATGAAACAAAATTATCAATGGAAATCAAAAGTGCCAAGACAAAGGGGGGGAGGGGGAATAGTTTGAATCAATATGAGAGGATAAGAGTCAGGTTAGGCTAGGCTGGCCTTACAACAAAAAACACATATCTTCCTTAAGAGCTAGGCTGCATCCTCTCCAAGGTAGTGAAGAAGTTATGTGATTCCAACTGGGTTTTGCACAGAAGTTGTGCCTTAACCCCATCCAAAAATTTTATTGCAGCAAACATGAATTATGCACTTTTAGAATATCACAAAGATTTCAGGGATATTGCTAAGTTCTGTGCATTTTGAACAACATGTTCCATGTGTGCCTTGTAGTACAAAATATTACCCTTAAATACTGTTCAACTGAGTGCATATTTGGAATGCTTATGTTTTACAACATAAATTATAAAGTCAGAACTTGTAAGACAATAATATTAAAAGTGAATTTGAATCAATAAAAATTTATATAACAGAATCTGGTCCTACCCAACTCCATTTTTACTAAGGCTAGCATTTTGTGCAAACCCAATCTAGAAGTTCCTCTAATTAATTTACCACACATTTAAATAAGTTAGTTCATCTTCAGATTTTCCCATGAATTTTTAGCTGACCCATATTGTCCGACATATGTTTGCTTTTTTTCCTTTCTTTTTTTAACTAAAATTTTGCTAATGAAATTCAGAAATTAATTAGTCTGCTTCTGGCTTGTTAGTATTCTTACTGCTTTGTCAGTTACACTTAAACTATAATAAGATTATTTTTATTACACAATTCAGTTCCACGGCAAACTGATGAAATTTTGAGCAGGGAGCTGTAGGTCTCTGCCATCCTCAATATTTTTATAATTAAAAATATTACTAAAACTAAGAAAAATATTTAGTCCCTATGGGTTAGTATAAGAGGCCCTTTTTTTTTTAAGGTGAGTTCAGACTTTGGATAAGAGCAATCTGTTCCTTCTCTGAACAGAACAAGGTGACAAAAAACTAAAGAGAATAAGAAAGAGAGAGAAATTATTACTCACTCAGGGTGTTTGATGTAGGTTTTTTGGGTCATTCATAGTGATAAGCTATATAGTGGACTAAATTACCACTGTGATTTTGTGGCTGTATTTCCTTTTAAACTGAAATCTATGTGTATATGTATGCATATCTACAACATATGTCAAATATATATTTACTGTTTCTACTATTTTCCCATGGTCCAAATATTTCTTACCTGATTAAGGTACTTTCATTGAATACCAAACCTAAAAATGCTGCAAAATTCTTTTTTACATTTGACCAAACAGGACATCTGGGTTTTTATTTAAAAACCATTTCCTTGGTAAAAGGCGGTAGATATTATTAGGACTTAGGGCTAAAAGTGTTTCTAGCTTGTACTATCTTTTGGATAATTCATCATACTAACAGCTTGGACAGCATTCAAGGAGAAACAAAGAATTTCTTAATGAGAACATCGTGACCTGGGATGAACCTTATTAATGATATGATGGCAAATGGAGAGAACTCAGGGCAATACTATTTTTGGTAGCCAACCTGCATATGGCAGTATTTCTAGTTTCACTAAAAATATTTTTCTAGTATTCTCCTCAGTTTATAATCTAAGATTTCTATACCCACCACATTCATTTTGGCTACTTTGTCAGATATGAACCAACATATAAGTTTAATGATGAGTTCTTCTGAATATAACAGAGCAATCAAGAAATAATAGTTTTGTACCAGATCTGTGGATATTCCAATTGTGCCCCACTTATATCTTCTTTGGACATATTCTGCAATTGTCTGCAAACTTAATGAACATTAAAAGGATAACAAGAAACTAAAAATGCTGTTGCATCCACAACGGATGCAGAAATGTAAGCTCTTAATTCCATTATTTTTCATTCTTGCTTCTTTTGGACTGTATATCCAAAAGAAAATATACAGTTCTTCATTTTCTAAAAGATTAAAACTTGACAAAATTAGTAAAGATGCTTTAAAATGATACAATATTAAAAAATACTAGCTTACCATTCTGAATGAGAGTTTGTGACCGTGTAAACCTCCCGTGGACAGCTGTCATATGCAGTGGGCTTTTCCCGTCTTTACTCTGTCGAACAAAAAAACAAACATAGCACAGATCACACCTATTGGTAGTGAAGTGCCTATTTCCTTTGAGGTGCTCTCGATGCCCCACATTTAGATGTAAAACGGCAACATTGGACACTTCCTAAATATACAGAAAGATGGCTTTCTGTATATCAATTAAAATCTTATTCAAAGCACCTCAACATTCATGGCTCGGTGAGCTTCTAAGACTTTATAACAGGGTAAGGTTTTTTTTACACTGTGTTTGCCTCTTGATCAGGTCTTTGGGAATTTTTTTTTATAAATAACTGGATTCATGGTCTGAAAAGATTTAAAATATAGAGAACAGATGGGTAAGAAGAAATTAACATACCCTTCTAAGAAGGGACAGCATAGCAGTAGCCTAGTGCAGGGGACCCCAATCCCCAGTCCATGGACTGGTACCGGGCCGCGGCATGCCAGCAACTGGGTCACACAGACAAGCAAAGTCCCATACGTGGGATGCAGGCAGCACAAAACCACGCCCCCTCTCTCCACGTAACTGGTCCCTGGTGTCCAAAAGGATGGGGACCTCTGGGCTAGTGAATCACATTCCCCCCACAAATATCTTTTTCTTCCAAACTTTAAATTATCTAGTGATATTAAAACAAAAAGATTCAGGGATGGTTGCCAAACTTCTAAGTAACATTGCAAAAAAACGTGGGGAAGAAGAAACATATGCCTCCATTTTCAGACTACAGCATTGTAGTTAGAAGTAATCCTGCTAAGGGATGGAGCAAGAAAGGAACATTTTGTTTCTGATCCCATTTGTGATATACAGAATACTTATAATGGGCAAGATGTGTCTACATGTTTAATGAAGGCAGTATCTTAAGAGAAACTGAATAGCCCTTGATTTCAATTCTTTCCCTCTGAACCATGTGAAGGACACTGCCTCGTTTTTCTTTGTTCTCCATGTAAATTCATATCTATTTATTATTTATCTATTTATTATATTTATACGCTGCCTATCTTGCTATCCAGAGAGACCTTAATGTAACAGTTATCCATTCCAAGCAATTTTTGCACAAAAAGAATATGTCTGAATTGGAAAGTTAAAAATGTTTTTCTCTTTCAATAGTCATACTGTTCAGAAAAGAAATGTACTCTGTATTTAACAGGTATACCTCAAAGCTCAGCATTTAAATGTGTAGGTGTAACACATAACCTTCACTTACCTGATCTCCATTCCGTTTACCTGCTGTTTAAAGATGTAAGAAATGGAAATCAAAAGGAAGAGATGTGAAACCTGTAATTGTACCTGAATGTTTACATCTGCCCCATTATTCACAAGCAGTTCCAGACAAAGGGCCCCGTGAGTAGAAGCAGCAGCAAAATGGAGGGGAGTGAATCCACTATTATTAGGCTGATTGACGTTAGCTCCATAGTCTATCAGCTCATTAGCCACAGAATCCTGCCCATTATAACAAGCAATATGAAGGGCAGTATTTCCATAGATGTTCATTTCATCAATCTGCAAGAGCAAAAGATCACGTGAAATCACTCACATTAAGGCATTACTTTTGTCTACCCCAGGCCTCATTTCAATTTTTTTATTAGTTTACCAAAATATAAAATACAAAGGAAAATGAAAATAATGGGAAACTGGGGAGGAAAAAGCGAAGAGGAGAGAGTGTGGGGTAGAAGAAGAAGAAGAAAAAAAGTGTTGACCTCCGACTCTTTTTAACACAGTAGAAGAGAACATTGCATGTTGACTTAGCTAGAGAATTGCAGGACATGGTTTGTTATTAATCAACAAAATATAATCTAACTATTATAACTATAAAATATTAACAATGCCATATGCAGGGCTTTTTTTCCATTAGAACGCCCAGAACAGAGTTCCGGCACCTTTTTTGGATGTAACCTTGTAGGGTAGGCAAGGCAGGTTGTATGAGATGGGTGAGTTCCGGCACCTTTTTTTTTTTTTTTTTAGAAAAAAAGCACTGGCCATATGAGTTTGTGTAAAAGAAAAAGAATTTCCAGTAAGGATAAAGTGGTCCTTAATATTTCAAACAGAAGGTAATACATTTCTTCCAGAAAAATTGTATCATACAACAAAAGGTCTAAATATCACATGACTACATAAAACATTATATGAAAAAAAAATAATTTCAACTTAATGATTTCTCTCCTATGGCTACAAAATTAATTATTCAATTTTATGAATAAAGCAAAAAAAAAGTTATATCCTCCACAAGGGTGTGTGCTCCTGAACTTGTTCTTATAATATTGATATCAAACTCTGAAGAAAAGAGAACAAACAACAAACAAAATAGTGGAAAAATGGCCATTCATTTAAAGCAGGTCTTGAAGAAGCTGAATGAGATTATTTTAATTTGGATTTAAGCAGGGGAGATAATAGGAACTTGCAGAACTATGGATCCAGATCCAAAAAATATACTTTATAGTATGAAAAATATAAACTTTTGACTTTTTAAAGCACAATCCTGGAAAAATACATTGTCACTTAAAGAGAGACAACAGATACTGCACTGCATTTTCACCTTTGCACTGTGTTCCAATTCTATGAAATTTGTTCCAAAGGAAATATGGCTGGTCTCCATGTAGTTTTTTTAATGTGATATTAAAGACAATGTTGGAAATTTTGCTTTAGCATTTATAGGATAATTCCACGGCCTGGCTTTTTTTGACTGCATTTTAAAATAATTTTTAAAAAGAACCTTGTTATATTGTTATTCTTTTAAGATTGTTGGTTTGATCTTTGATGGCTTTATTTAATGTTGTTTTATTGTTCTGTTACAAACTGTTTTGGGCTCCTCAAAGAGTCGTGCAGAAACTGTGAATTAAACATAACAATGTTGTTGTTTTTTAAAAAAAGAACAGGTTTGCATTTTTTTTTTAAAAAATGCATCTTTCCCAGGTTTTAGGTTTGTACAAAAATCTTGCATATGCTCTTAAATGCTTATCTTTGTTTGAATTCATTCAAACTTGGACATATGTTAGTTGGTAGCAGAAAAAGATAGATAGATAGATAGATAGATAGATAGATAGATAGATAGATAGATAGATAGATAGATAGATAGATAGATAGATAGAGAGAGAGAGAGAAAGAGAGAAAGAAAGAAAGAAAGAAAGAAAGAAAGAAAGAAAGAAAGAAAGAAAGAAAGAAAGAAAGAAAGAAAGAAAGATCAAAAATAGCATGGTTACTTATGTTACAGCTATCAGTGTTAAAACAAATTATTTATGCAATAAATTAAGAAAATTTGTCCAATCATATAGGAGCAATTACTATATCCTCATTTCAGTATAAATAGTGCATATGGTCTGTTGCACATCATATACTCTGTATTTTTATTATTATATCATGTCTAAGGGACAAAGGAAGTTGGAGAATTACACTTGTAGCTATACTCTCAACAGCTATATTAATATTTAATATTATGATCTAGAATGATTAAAATAATTTATAATCCAAAGAACAGAACAAAAGTTCCTTCATCAACCTTGTCAAAGACAGTTTACGTTTTTAAAAGGTTGTAAAAAGTTCATTTCATAGAAAAAATAAAGTTTCCACAGCCAGAATTTATAACAATTCAATCTTTACTAGCTTGTAGTATTAACTTCTTACCTCCACACCAAGATTGAGCAAATGCTTCACTATACTGATCTGGCCACTGGAAGCAGCAGCATGAAGTGGAGTGTAACCCTTCTTATCTTTACATGTCACTTCAGCACCATGACTGATCAATAATGAAACAACTTCCAAATGGCCTAAAAAGAAAAGGAAAATGTAGTATTTCTTGTCTATCTCTGCAGTGCAATTTAATACGGCCCTCATTGTTGGCATGCCACTCTAAGTTCATAACCGAATCACAAACAAAAAGATGCTCATTCCTTAGACAACTTTTATTATATTAGACAACAGAGGGATAGAATCAAGATCACGTGAAGTATTAATATCACTTTACAATGCCTTGGTAAGGCCACACTTGGAATACTGCTTCCAGTTTTGGTCACCACGATGTAAAAAAGATGTTGAGACTCTAGAAAGAGTACAGAGAAGAGCAACAAAGATGATTAGGGGACTGGAGGCTAAAACATACAGTATAAGGAGCGGTTGCTGGAATTGGGTATGTCTAGTTTAATGAAGAGAAGGACGAGGGGGGACATGATAGCAGTGTTCCAATATCTCAGGGGCTGTCACAAAGAAGAGGGAGTGAAGCTATTCTCCAAAGCACCTGAAGGCAGGACAAGAAGCAACGGATGGAAACTAACCAAAGAGAGAAACAACCTAGAACTAAGGAGAAATTTTCTGACAGAAAAATTAATCAGTGGAACAACCTGCCTCCAGAAGCTGTGAATGCTCCAACACTGGAAGTTTTTAAGAAGAGACTGGACAGCCATTTGTCTGAAATGTTCCTGCCAGAGCAGGGTGTTGGATTAGATGACCTCCAAGGTCCCTTCCAACTTTATTATTATTATTATTATTTTAGTGTGTGTGTTTAAGACAACTGAAGGAAGTTGGGAGATCTAATAGTATATGATGCATATAAAATATAAAAAATCCTGGATGAGTGTTGCTCCTGGACAAGACAATAAAACCAATAAAACCTGTCTATCTGAAGATGGAAATGTAATTGTAATACACAGAGAGAGAGAGATATCTATAACCCTTCAAGTTGTCTTCAGCCCTTTGAAAAAAGAAAAGGGAAAGCAACAACAGACAATGCCAAGATTCCAGTTTTAGGATATCAGAAGATGAAGAGATCTTCATGTAAATCATTCCCCTTTTTAAAAAAGAAATTATTTTAATTCCACTGTATTCTACTTTGGGCTTACTTGTATTTCTAAGACAATTCAAAAGTTGCATTTTTTTCAGTTAGATAAAGGAACACGAATAGCTGTTTTTAAGGAACTGTATTTTTTTTACACTTCTTCTAACATAATTACTCCAATTGTGAGTCTTTCACTTTCATAGGGAAGAATCTATGAAAAGGCCTTTTAAAGTATGAGTGCTGATTAGTCCACTTTCTGCTATTCACTAGCTGAATAGTTGTGCTATGAATTATTTTCATAATAATCAAGTTACCATCATATACCTGGCAGCAAAAGAAAAGATTACAAAAAAGGGTCATTAATATGTGATAATCGTTCTGTCGAATTTCACAATACAGCAGATAAATGTTAATTTCTTTTCCTTAACAGTTGCAGTTAACTCTATTGACGCTTATGATTAGTTAGTAATCCCATTTTCAAATATCCTATAAACAGCAGTATTTAAAGATGGGGCTGACTGAGAATTCAGGGTTTTTGGATTTCTGGGGAAGAAATGGGGAGTTGAAGAAAGCTCCACTAACAGTGGCGCCAAGAAGCACAGCAAAATAAAAGAGCCAGCAAGCAGATTGGCTCTTCGCAATTCCTCTTTGGACAAGGAAAGAATTTAGGATTGCCAACAAGTGCTCAATACAGCTATACCTTCGAAGGAGACTGCAAGACAGCAATCTCCAATGGGTTTAGAGATTTAGGAGACAAGGGAAGGGCCACCTTGCTTAAACCATGGTTGGCAACTTTAAAACTGGGTTCTCATACTTCCTTTGCTAAACACTTTTAAAAATTGCTTGTTAACTGCTCTTCAGCTATAAAGAACCATTGGATTGACAAGTCTGAAAACACCTGGTGAGTTTCCTTTAATCCTTAGCAAAATAGCAATAGCAATAGATTTAGACTTAGATACCACTTCACAGTGCTTTACAGATCTCTCTAAGCAGTTCATAGAGTCAGCATGTTGCCCCCAATAATCTGGGTCCTCATTTTCCTGACCTCGGAAGGATGGAAGGCTGAGTCAACCTTGAGCCGGTGAGACTCGAACTGCCAAACTGCTGGCAGCCAACAATCAGCAGAAGTAGCCTGCAGTACTGCACTCTAACCACTGCGCCACCTTGGCTAAATAAGTTTTAAATACAAGTTTAAGGACTTAATTTGTTTTAATAAACATCAAAAGGCTGATTAAAACTTTGATTTTGGAAAGTTTCGAGTAGATTTCAAATAGGATTTTGGAATTCTCTGTGGGGAAAAAGCTTTTATTTTGAATTCTTTAAAAGAAATCACAGGCTGGGAAAGTTAGAACTACAGGGAATTAAATTAAAGCAGAAAAACACATTTACATTCGACTTATAAGTACAGAAGGAAATGAATTATTTTAATATTACACACACTGGAGGATAGTTTTGAACAATGGACCCACACTTATTTTTAAGAGTGTCTGCCTCTGTAGATAGATCGTCTTGCATTTCTGCAAACTGCAGTTCCTGAACCAGCATCCCTGGGCAATGACAACATCAAACTTGTATCAGTAATTCCTGCAAAACTGCCTAACCATTTTCAGACAGACTTGCCTACAAAGCTTTGCAAAGAAAAAGCGTCAATTAAGAGCAAAAGTCTTCTTTGTGCAGCAGAATATGGTTGTTAAATCTAAAGGATGAGCTCCATATATTAATGACCTTGATCTTTTCCCATATGTTTTACACATTTTTGCCTTTCAGCTAACATACAGAGAACTCTTTTGTAAGCCACCAAAGGGGAAGAAACATATGGTTTCCTGATCAAAAGAGATTGCTAATTGAAAGCAATATTTCTAAAGAATAGGTTCCTTAGCTATCTCGTAAGATGAAGTTCTATACATAATAAATTACACGCGCTCTCTGATATAAGTTATAGATATGACTCAGTTCAACATACTGTAATTTTAAAAAGAAATCATGATTTTCACAAAGTTAGGATCCTTGAGGGTTCTTCTTAAAAAATTCAATTGTTGATAACATATGTCAACTTCAGCTTGACCCAGATATTATGTCCTGAGTCATTTTTGCTTTAATTCTTTTAATTCTTTTTTTTTTGCTTTATTTTGGACAAATTATATATCTGTATCATTTTATGACTAATGCATTTTGATTTTCCTTTCTGCTTAACGACTATGTGTCAGTCATCTGTTTTCATGTGCATCAGTTGGTAAAATTTAATGCTGTTTGTCCTTACTGGTAAGAATGAGTCTACCTTTCACTGAAGGAAGATGTTAAGGTCTCTACAGAAAGTTTCACTGATATCTGCAATGGCTCTAATGCATATTTTGTTTATCACTACATGAACTCTGAACCATACAAGAGCTGAAAAAACACTTTAGTTTGAAATATTTAAAAAATATTCAAATGAACAGTGGCCAAATATTATTTTTAATTTAAAGACATTTAACTTTTTCTCCTTATAATATGATATAAACCTTTAAAGCAGGGGTGTCAAACTGCCGGCCCGTGGGCCGGACGCGTCACCAGGAAACCGCGCCCACCCCATTGCTGGCAATGGAGAAAAAGCTCCGATACATCGCACGACGTTACGTGACGTTGCGAGTTTGACATGTCTGCTTTAAAGGGGTTTATTTAACCCTACGATACAAACAACAACAGAAATAAATTATCAAATATCAGCATTAGAAGAATATATCAAACAATAGAAGAAATTCAAAGCACTACATGAGATATGCTTATTAAATTAAGGAGATATTGAGTATTGTAATTAGACTATTACTACTTATTGCCAATCAAGTTACAGACATTTTGCCAACAAGAAAAAAAGAAAAACTTTCTTACCCTTATATGCTGCCCAATGTAAAGCTCTTCGGTCCTTTTTGTCAAAGGCATTAATATTTGCCCCTTTAGCCAAAAGTAAACTCACCATCTAAAACAAACAAATAGCCCCCAAATGTATGTCAGTCAATAGTTATAGAGCATGCAACAATTGACTTGATGTTGATTTGTACTTCACAAATGTATTTATTTTTATTTATTGGTTTATTATTTATTCATTTACCCAATCCATTGGATACAAATTAATAGAACAATTCTGAGTCTGGTGTTCAGCTCACATCACCTAAAGGGAAATGATTTTACCAGACCAGACAGATTTCAAAGTAAAAGAACAATTTTATTAAGGCACTCACTTCAACGTGACCATTCAGAGCTGCATGGTGTAATGCTGTCCGACCTCCTCTGTCAGAGACATTGACACTACTCAGAAGTGGAATTATCACTTCAGCACACTTCACAGCTTTATTTGCAGCTGCAACATGTAAGGGTGTCTGCCAATTCTTGTCTCGGGCATTGACGTCAGCTGAATGCTTAATCAATACTTGTACAGCTTCCTAGAAGATCACACAATTAAATCATAAGGAAAGCATTTATTAGAAACTATAGATTATATTTACAAATTTTGTACTGAACAGTGGTGTGTGTGTGTGTGTGTATACAAATATATATGTATATATATTCTCTCCTGTAAAGTAAAATGGACGCCATTACCTTTATACATACTGAATAGCTATAGAAATGTTTCTCTAGCTTGACTGAAGTGTTTAAATTCAATATGGAAGAAAATGCTATTGTTTTTTTTAATTTTTTTTATTTATAATATAATTAAAAAAAAAGAAAACATTGGACATGATGTAACATTCCAGTTTGAACATTTCTATCAAATTATTTCTCCTCTTAAATTCAATTCTTTATCTCTATAAATATATATAAACTTTTTATACAATACTTAATACATTTTCTCTATTTGCTAACCTAAGAATATATATATATTTCCATCTTATCGCTAATCTATAACCCCAACAGTCCTCTTCGATTCCCACCAATGGTACAATTTGTCCCAGATTTCAAAATATTCTGATCCGCTTTTATCTTTCAATTCCATCGTAAGCCTGTCCATTTCAGCACAAGATAGTACTTTATGCAGTATCTCTTCATCTGTGGGAGTTTCTTTGTTCTTCCATTTTTGTGCAAAAGCCAGTCTAGCAGCAGTCAAGATGTGCAACATCAAATAGACTATTCCCTTGTCATATTTATCTGTGGTTATACCCAATAAAAAGAGTTCAGGTTTTAGCTCTATCTCCAACATTAATATTTCTTTCAACCATTAAGAAAAATGCTACAGTGAGATAAATTCATACTCTGGTATGATTTCCTGTAAATCATACTTCTCCAACTTGATACGTAGGGTTGCAAACTCCATCATTCCCAGCCTAATGTTTCAAACCCTGTTTACTCAAAATTAAATCCAACCTAGTGGAACCTACTTATCAGTAGGCTTAGATTTGGACTGTTAAGCTACTGAAAACACTTTCAAATGTGTACTCTGCACCAGTCTGAAGACTTCTGTTATCGCACAGCATTGGCAGGAGTTGTAAGCTGAGCTGATGTTTACCTGGTTGGGCTGTAGAGTATATGAAATCACACTTAAAATGGTTTCTCTTTTGCTAGGCTAACAGCTCTGGAGAGCTTGTCAATTTTGCACTGGTAGGAATTCTTCTGTTTAACCTCCCTCCAAATGCCTTAACTCAATCTAGCCTCTCCCTCCTCCCACAGAGAATCAGCTGTCATTGCTTGGGACTGATGCACTATTATTAACTTTTTAAAAAGTATCAAAAGACAAAGCCTTGGTGGCTTTGTAGCTCCCTCTACTTGACCAGATAACTTTCCAATTGTTTTGGAGAAATTGCCAATCAAATATATACGACATGTAAATAAAAAAGAAAAGGTGAGATGAGGCACTGACTGAACACAGTCTTTGCTGCTTGATGATTGATCAGCTGAAGGAATACTTAATGTTTCCCTGCAGTGTGAGAGGCAGAAGCAGTGTGGAAAGTTATGGGTTACTTCAAATCCTTTTTAAGGGATTGGGGGGGTGTGGAAATGGCAAAGTGAAAGTACATTTTTACTGGTTTAATCTAGATTATATAATAGTTAGCTTTTTCACAGTGGTTGCCTTCTGAAGAATTCTGGCCTAGTGTGAATGAATTCAGTCACTCCAACTTTGCTTCTGCTGCCATTGTGAATGATTAAACAAACCACAGCATAATTTCCTCTTAGTATATTTTAAAGTGATGTGCAGCTGGGGAATTCTGGCTTTTCCCCATTCTAACAAGCCAGATTTGAAAGCCAAGAACTCCGTATGTAAACCTGCTATCAAAGACATGGAAAGGAGCTGGAAAAAAAACTTGCATCTTACTAAACTATTAAGGAGAGAAGAAGGAGGAGTAGAAAGTGCTTTTCAGCTTGAGAAAATCTGTGAAACCTGGGAAAATCATCTGTAATCAATGACTTTATCCACATGGACATTATTTGGCTATATAGTTATGTAGTTTCCCCACTGACTGAGAGTACTACATAAAGACTTTTGACTTGCAGACATCTGCCCACAATGCATGGATGACAAGGGGATAGTGGAAAACCATGCAGCTTCCAGAACTGTACCAACAGTGTGACTCCACCGTTCTTTTACTTGTCCCTTCAGTCTCATTATATGCTTAAAGCAAAATGATGATCAATCTACACACACATATATACATGTGAGCTACAGAAATATAATTGCATAAAACAAAACAAAAAACAAAAAAAGTATGTGAATACTTTTAACTGTTCAACTATATATGACACAGATTACAAACCATCTAAACCAGGGGTGTCAAACTGCCGGCACACGGGCCAGATGCATCACAGTGAAACCGCGTTCACCCCATTGCCGGCAATGGCAAAAAAAGTCATGATACATCACGTGATGTTGCAAGTTTGACACCCCTGATCTAAACACATTCAATAGAAATCAACAGGTTTGACAAGGTAAAACAACTCCAACACTTTCTATGTCAAGCTTGTAGCTTTATCACTTTTCTTTTGAGATTGATGTTAAATTATGCCATTAAAATGAACCAAGGAAAGGCAATTTCTATCCACCTTCCTTTCTTTTCAAGGATTTGTAGTGTATTAGAAATCCCCTTCAGTGGACTTTTACCAAAAGCCAGCAGCTGGAAAACTCCATTAATGTAGTGGCTAAAGAATGCTCAAGTTTAGAAAATCATCCCCTTAGGCTTGGCAAGGACCCAGATAGTTGCAAAAGCAATTCCACCAATCTTGGGAGAAATGCCAAGCTGGCAACTTTTTAAAAAGACTTTCTCAACAGCCAATTCATTGGCATGTATTGTGTAGACCCAACTTTGGAAAATGAAAACACTCAGCAAAATGGCAGCTTAGAATGAATACTTAGCCACTCCTGGTTATTTCTCTCACTTATTAAGTCTTAAGTGAGTAAAAAGAAAGAAGGGATAGAATATTAAGTATAAAAAATACCATACTGAGCTATTTAAAAAAATAACTCCAGATAGGATAAGGTAGAATTGACTTGCAGACAGTAGACGTATAAGGAACTTGTCAAACAGGTTTTGCTGGATTGTGCATCATTTTCAATATTTTGATAAGGGATGACTGGGTGGGGGGGAGAAGAATGTGCACAACCAAACTTTCATGATATTACTTTCTGGCACACTGCTGTCTCCTTCTAATATTGTCCTGTTCTTAGCAGGTATCCTAATCTCTTGGGAAAGTTCCATTCAAGATAAAGTTACACCATGTTTTATTAGCCCATCACACAAGTTTTCCTGTTACAGGAAAATGCAAATGTTTTCTGCAAGGATGTTAGAAGGCAGTAAGACACTATTCCTGAGTCTTTAAAAATGAAATTGCTTTTAGCAAAAGTATTCTTTCTTCACAGGGAGTCTGACTTTAGAAGACCGCTAGCTAAAGTGAAGAACGCTATGAATGATTAATTCTATTTGTAGTTAAAATCACTAGGGACTTAAATGTATCAATCAGCATGTTAAAAATAAGTTTCACTCTGAGCCCAAGATTCACAAAGTGGTCAATTAACAAAGGCAGAGATGTCATTTCTTCTGCTTCTGGAATGGGTAGAATGTGGACATTTTGCCGCCTTCCCTCTATCCCTCTGGCTGCCCACTTCAGTGGAATTAATGGCTCCTTGCATAGTAGATTTCTCTTGTGTGAGACCACCTGCCTGAGGCCTTAAGCACAGGACTCAGCCAGGTGGTGGTGGTAGTAGCTGGCTCATTCCCAGAGACCCTAGAAGCAACAGCAGTGGAGGGGAGATGGCAGGCAGTTGTAGTTGTCTCATCTGTGAAAGAAGAAGGGGGAAAGAATGGGGGGAAAGAAGCCTACTGCACTGCTGTGGCAACAGCACTGTTGCAGAGCATACTGGTATTTGAAAGAGGATGCTCACCAATGGGATTGCAATGGTTGTTTCAGAGGTTTGAAACCAATAGAAGAGATCTCAGTACTGTATGCTGGTTCTATTCCATTTTGAGACCAGCATAAGAGCAAACTAGACAGAAGCTAATTCCTAGAGACTCCAATATTTCCTCAACCAGTTTCTGTCTCCATCAGAGAGAGTTACAGAAACTGTTGTTCCTGGATTGTTCATTCAAGAGAAACCAAGCAATATTGCTGAAATTTCAGCGTTCTCTTTAAATCCAGAATCTGATAGCACTTTACTGGTTAATAAGTTTTATTTTTTTTTAAAAAAATAAGCTGTTGTGAACTGCGGTTCACTCCCTCAGATGCCTTTTTGATCTGATAAAGTGAGTTACCACCGCATGAAAGCTGAGGCCTTTTAATAAAACGTGATGGTTGAAAAAGATGCTGCCAAACTCCTTGGAATTTTAGCTACCGTTCACTAAAACAACTGCAAAGCATTCTCTATAGTCTCTCTTACTTTACCAAATATATGATTTGGATCCATTTCCCTTTTTTTTTGCAGCACAACTTGTGCTCTCCAAATACAAGTCAGGAGATAAATCATAAGCAAGGCTAGCCCAAGATACTATGGTTCATGTTTGCTTTCCTTGCACCAAAACAGAGATTAATAAATTGTGGATCATTTCTTCATTTCAGTTCAAGTAGTCCCGGCAATCTTATTTCAACACTAGTAACAAGACAGTATTGGTCAGCGACCTGACTACATCAAGCTAGTTTAGAAAGTACATAGTTCTGCTTTAAGAAATAAAGAATCGAGTGTGCTCTAAGAGAGAGTATCTCTCTTTCTGCCACTGACTGCAATGTAGGGTAACCACATTGTCTAAAACAGGGGTAGGCAACCTTGGCTCTTTTATGACTCGTGGACTTCAACTCCCAGAATTCCTGAGCCAACCAAGGTTGCCTACCCCTGGTCTAAAATAAGGTTAGGTTGAACTGATTAAGTTAATGTGCTTTGTAATCACATTGCCAAACATTTCTCTTAGACCTGCTACCTTTTAAGTGATATTTATTTGCAGCTTCTCCACTAGCCTTGCCTCTGTGATCAAACAAAGTAAATGGAAGGTAATGGAAGTTGTCTTCTCTTCTGTTGTTTTGGCAAAGTGAAGGCTGGGATCCAGTACAATTACTGGATTCATAATTATGCAAGAAATACAATCTCAGCTTCTGTTTCTTGAAGATGTTTATGTTCTTCACACTTCTGGAAACTTTAAAACTTTCAGATAGATTTCAATTCATTTTCTTGCTAGCAACAATGGAACTTGGTGAGTGTTTATTACTGTTTAGGCTTGTCCAGAAACGGAATTCTGGATCAGCATGCGATATCAGCTTTTAATTTTATTTCTCTTCCCAAGTAAGTTTTTATATTTCCTATATTTATGCTTTCTATTAGTGACCATGGAATTATATTTCATGGCACAAATTCATTAAGTAAACCAGATGCAGTATGGCCATCTAAACCACAAAAGCTTTGCAAACTAGCCTCTTTAGGTTAAAGTCAGACTTTATTCATTTGTGTCATAGACAAAAATGATCACCGGATCAAAGAATACAATGTAATCATTACCAGGGCCACAAAGGATTTTGGGAAACAACTACTATGTTTCCATTTAGTCACCAAATAGTTAATGTAAAGAAGCTTGTGTTGTAATTTAACTTATTAATAAACCCTTTGGAAGTCTCAAGCAGACAGGAAGACAGAATATTTATTGGGGCTTTACAGATACAAATGAGCTGCATCTTCCTGGCAGTACATGACACAATAGACATAATGGTTGACAGTACATGACACAATAGACATAATGGTGAATGTTACACCACATAACCTGCAATGCAGCATATACCCTCTTCCTCCTTTCCTTCCTCCCCTCCCCAGCCCCCAAATGTATCTGCTTCGCAGCTTTGATTCCCTGATCCAGCTGACTACTAAATAAACACATTAAATACACAGAGAGGCCCATTATTCAAGACACTTAACTTGGAATTACATAGACAATTATACTGAATCGTTCCTTTATGGATGTGTATATAAGGGATGAAGTAACAGTAGTGCATCTTTTTTTTTTTAAGTTGAAACTTGTGAAACACATATTGCTGAAGCATTGGCTGTATTACTCACTTCACTCCTTGAAGCAACAGCTCGGTGGAGAGGAGTCAGCCACATGTTGTCCTTTGCATTGACACGGGCTCCTGAAAATCAAATGGACATCTCTTAAATACCACCTCACCCAAAACTGATGTTTGGTAAACAGAACGGCATGCAATATGGAATGCATTCCAGACCATACTGCCCTCTTTTTGGCGTTTGTTTCAAGATGGCTGCTAACAAAGGCAAAGTAACCTTGCTGACTCCCAAAAGAATCCTGGAAAGTTTGGCAGGAAAGAGAAGCAAAAAGAATTGACTTTCTGAAATTAATACCGCCTACAGAGAAAGAAAACTAGCAATAGGAAAGACTAGTGAGGCCATGGATAGAAATATCCAAAGAATAACGACTTTGAAAATGATCAAAGGCATCCCAAATGCAATCAGAGCTATTCATTTATTTATTGCCTTTATTATTTTTATAAATAACTCATGGGGGAAATCATACCTAATACTCTTTCCTCCTCTTATTTTCTCCACAAAAACAACACTGTGAGGTAGGTTGGGCCGAGTGACTGGCCCAAGGTCACCCAGCTGGCTTTTATGCCTAAGGCAGGATTAGAACTCATGGTCTCCCAGTTTCTAACCTGACACTTTTACCAAAAAATCATGAGAGGCATCTGCAGGTAAGCACTAATTGTTTGCTTGGAATGCTGTCAAAGATCAGGCAGTTCAATCACTTGCATTTTTGATACTGATGCTGCTCATACACACCCTATTCTGTAGCTATCCATACTTACAGTATACAAAAATTAAGTCCATGTGCCCTGGTCAACTGCCCTTCAAACCTGGAGCAAATGAGAAAGCGGAGAAGCAGGGAGGGAAGGTCCAGTATTTATAGCTTCACTGAGACAGCATTTTATTGCTTTATTGGATTCATTGTCTAAGACCTAAAATAAGCTGGACATTCATTCATTCATTCATTCATTCATTCATTCATTCATTCAATATCTATAACCGCCCATCTAAGTTAAGTGACTCTTTCCTATTCTACTATTAGTAGAATCCTCACTTTACTATTTTTTAAACAAAAGAACTTATCAATACTACTTATTTTCTTCATTCTACTAAAATCCTTTCCATTCTGTCAATAGGCTCTGTTTTTCCAGTTGTGTTTTCTATCTCTACTGTCCTATTGTTGTTTAATAAGATTTAAAGAGAAGATGGAAGAAATCTTTTTGTCATCAATAAGCCCAATATTCTAATATATAGTTTGGATAGAATACCTTTTCTTTTTTTCTTTTTTTAAAAAAAGGGAATTCACATTTTACTGATAGCTTGACTGCAGTCTCTGAAAAAATAAGGTGTAAATTTTCCTGGGGGCTGCTAAGCCACAAGGTTGGCAGAAATGAAACACATTTCTAAACACACCACAGAAGTGCAATAGGTGCCTATGTTAATCAGATCTGGTTTCCACATCCTCTGCCTTTGCAAATTTTCAAGGTGCTGTTTATCTAACGTAGAGAAGTTATCTGCACATCTAATTTTATTGATGTATTTTAATGTATTTTAAAAGCAACTATTCAGAATGTCTGATTAAGAATGCAACCTTTCCCACTTTAAAGTCATGCAAATCTGATATTATAGCCTTGCTGGCTCAAAGAACATGGCTCTTGTTACATGAAATTCCTCTAGACCAGGGCTTTTCAACCTTTTCACCCATTGTACCACTTTTAGGATATGGCAATATCCGAGTTCCACCAGTCGCCTAGCAAGGTGTCAAAAACTTGATGACCCATAAAAAAAGGAAAAAAGTAATGAAGTACAGGTAGTCGACCTACAACAGTTCGCTTAGTAACTGTTCAAAGTTACAATGGCACTGAAAAAAAGTGCCCCCCAAGCCACAGTGGGGCAAGACACCTGCCTGCCCACCTGGCGGCGCTCTTCCTCCTGTCCGAGGTTTTCATTGTTGTGAGCATTTCTGTTGAGGATTGGCAGTGGGGGTGGGGTGGGAGAGTGTTTGGTTTTTATTCCCCCCATCTGCTGGGTGGTTGCAGCAGGTTTTGATCACTTCACATGACCCTGGGACACTATGACCGTCATAAATATGAATCAGTTGCCAAGCATCTGAATGTAAATCACAAGACCCTGGAGATATTGTAACCTTCCAGCTGATTGGCGCTTCTTCTGGGCTCAGCAGAAGCGCCAGGATCAACGCTGAGCTCCAGCTGGAGCCTGGCGCTGATCCTGGCGCTTCCGCTGAGCCCTGATAGTCCTGCAGCTCCAGCCATCTCTCGCTTAGGCTTGTGTGGTGCTGCCACTAGTTCAGCTCATTCCCCTCCCCTGCTACCACTTTTCTAGGATGGTCACGTACCACCTGCCAGATGCCAATGTACCACAGGTGGTACCCGTACCACTGGTTGAAAAGCCTTGCTCTAGACCACTATTAGGCAACATATTTTAGTTTACAACTTCCATAAGTCTCAACCAGCAACTCTCAGGGTTCTGCCACTTGTACCTGCCCTTCAAAAACATCTGAAGAGCACAAGGTTGTCTACTGCTCCCAAAGTGTTGGGCAACAGAAGAGCATGAATCCATAAACCAAGTTCTCCTTCCTGATCATCTGGCCAATGTTCTGTAATTGACAGCACAGTATTGAATTGGGGAGAAGGGACTACGCTAATCAGAGCTTTTGTAACTCTTGGGAACCTCAGAGTAGAAGTGTCACTGTGCAGCTCACCCTTTAACAAATCTAACACAGTCCTAACCAATATTAAGCATCCTGCAGATGTGCTCAGACATTCATTTTAGCAGCTTCAAAGAGCCAAGCTTCTCTTTGAAGTTTGCTGTGCTGCTGAACACCGCATTTGGCCCACAGCTACCCAGAATCAAGCAACCTAATCTGCTCTGAATTGTGTAGCTAATAATCATATCATAACATGGTTCTTTATTAAATTTAAAGCTGTGCTGACGGGGTGATTTCATCAGGGGCACAGCAAACATGGAGGGGAGATTTATACCGCTATGAGACCGTGGCCCTTGATGGTATAAAAATTTAATCAGATACATAAATAAATTAACATTAGGGGGGAGGGGGAAGTCTCCTTCGTGCCAAAACTAAGCAAGAGCTATTTTTGACAGGACTGCAGAAAGGGGAGAAGGGTAGCCCTTCTCTTTTTGCAGCGTGCTCCTGACAGATATCTGTCTCGCCCAAACGGTTTTCAATTTTAAAAATTCCAGAAATGGCTGCTAGCCATAGAGAGCAAGCAACTTTTGGTGGGGACCTTTTGATGCTATACAGTTCAGGTATTGAAGCGCAAATCCCTGATGTGGAAACACGGGCTCTGTGAGTCGGCTATATATAAATTCAGGCAGGATTTCCAAAATCCTTTTATCCCCCACCTTGCAATCTCAATCTGACAGCTTCAACCTACATAAACAGTCACGCTGGCTACAGTTTCACTATGCTGTTTTGAGACATCTGGCTGCTGGTCTTCTGCATTAACTCTGAATAATTTTTGTTTAATGGTAACCCAGAGGCCCATTCCTGATATGTCTCAATGCAAAGGACATATGCTTTATTCATTACATGCTATGTTTATTTGTACTGCTGGTGCACCAGTTCATGTGCCACAAGACTAACTGTGAACATATTTCACCAAATGTCTCTCCTGAGCCTTGAGGGAAATTCAATGGGCCAATTCTTTTTGCAGGATCTAGCCTCCCCAACAGGATTGCTACAGGTTATAAATCCTTCTTGCATTACTTTAAATATAAAAAATGAACAGAAAAGATTTGAGGAGTTTCGCTCTCTGCTGTTTGTGCCGATCGGTATTCAACAAATCCATCCTTTATGAAGCATCATCCAAAATGTAGACCTTTTTTTTAACAAACGAAAAGGCATTAGTTTGACAGAGAGGAGTTTGCTTCCCATCATTTTGGGGCACTACAGCAAAGTAATTTATGAGTCATAACCTTGTATTACTCAAAAGGGGTACAAGCAATGATGTGCTTGATAAATAATGGCACTTCAGAGCTTTGCAAGAAGAAAGCAGCCAGAAAACACACACAAATACAAAAAGGTAGCATTGCCCAAACCTCAAAAACATGACTGGACTGTACTGCCAGCTCTAAAAGGGAAGGTGTATTTATTTATTGATATACCTATTTATTAATTAGTTATTTCATTTACTTCATTTGTGTGCCACCCATTCCCTTTGAGGGTAACTTAAATTACTACTTTAGAAGGAAGAGTCCTCTAACGTAGGTTTTTGATTTTGAAGATAGGATCCCAATGTTTTCCCCAATGTCTGCACCAATACTGAAGCACAGTACAAAGCTTGGCATCCAGAAAACATATTTCAAGCTTCCCAATGGGTTCATACTCATTATGTCCAGTGCTTTTTTTGTAAAAGCAAAAGGTGCCGGAACTCACACACATCATATAACCTGCCTTGCCTACCCTACAAGGTTCCATCCAAAAAAGGTGCCGGAACTCCGTTCTGGGCGTTCTATGACAAAAAAAGCCCTGATTATCTCCATCATCCTTACACACTATCATGGGAGAAAGGCCAGTTTTATCAATTCAGTAAAGAAGAGTCAAGGAGAAAAGCTGAGGAAAAGAGAAAAAACTGGAATGTGGATTCTTTTACAGGTAGCCCTTGACTTATGACCATTTGTTTAACAGTGGTTTGAAGTTACGATGGTGCTGGAAAAAAATGACCTATGACCCACCCTTACAGATAATCCTCATGATCATGATTTGTGATTTTCCCAGCCAGTTTCCAACAAGCAAAGTCAATAAGGGAAGCCAGATTTGCTTAACAACTGCATGGTTCACTTAACGACTATGATTTGCTTAATAATTGGATGATTTAACAATCACAGTAAGAATGTCGTAAAATCAGGTCTTCTATCTCTGGAGCTCTGCTAATACAAGTACATTCATTGTAAGGGCTACCTAATAGCAAATCAATAAAGTATTATTAAGTAGATTTGTGTGTTTTCACATACACAATTAGCTTTTGGATTTCGGTTTTGAGTATCTGCTCTTATTTGAAGACGTTTTGGCCACATATTAATTATTCAGAATGGGGAAGAAATAATTTTAACAAAAAATGTTGGTGCTCCCCCAATTATATACATTTTCTATTCCATTGCTTAATTTTCTTTATTCATTTTTCTCCTGTTATTTTATCTCCTTTGAACGACATTAAGTAGCTAGGCTCGGTAGTGAAAAAAGTAACAACTGCGCATTTTTATAAAGCTGATAGGATGTTATTAAGTTTTAAATACTACTATTTTAATTGTAAAATATAAAAAACTTTCATTTATTCAAACCTTAAAAAATAAATACAGAGCGCTGAACAGGCTCACAAGCCCTGTTTCATTCTAAAATACCCCAAAACATTTTTTTTCTTCTTAAAAAACATATGGCTTGAGTTTTGACAGCTAATAAAAATATTTTTATGCATCTGGAGGAACTATAATTAATCTGACATTGCACAAACTACCTGTCTCCACAATCAGCATTGGTACAAACGCTTTCAGATTTGGAATCTGAAACAATTGAATAAAGGCATCTAAATGTTAAAATTCCAGCCAAGATTTCTCATGTGATACCATGCTGGAACTGGAAAAAAGCTACATCTACATCAGTGTTTCTCAACCTTGACAATTTTAAGGCATGTGGACTTCAACTCCCAGAATTCCACAGCCAGCAATGCTGGCTGTGGAATTCTGGGAGTTGAAGTCCACATGCCTTAAAATTGTCAAGGTTGACTGGCTGTGGAATTCTGGGAGTTGAAGTCCACATGCCTTAAAATTGTCAAGGTTGAGAAACACTGATCTACATAAAGCAAGGATGACCAACCTGCATCTTGCCTTCTCAGATATCTTTTTGAGTCATGGTTGATCTCAGCAATGTCTGATTTTTCCCAAATTGGAAGGTTGTGAGGAGTAAAATGGGGTCTTCTTCATCTCTTAACCTTTCACTCAACTCTTAACCTTCCAAATTGGGCCTCATGGCATTATCAGCAACACACCTACAGCCTCCAAGGTCAAATATATACATTTTTAAACTGTACAGCATTCTACTGTAAGAAAATTGCCTACTTTGGCTAATGCATACTATCCAATTTCCAATGACTCTGGGAGGTTCTGCAAATAAATAACATTAAAGGGAACATTAAAAGGAATAAAACAATATAATAATAAGCAAGAACAAGGAATAAAAGGCGGCAGATTAGACAGGAACCAAAATCAAACCCGCACAATCTAAAAGGGCTTTGCAAAAAGCTTATGCAATAACCCAAGCCTTGAAGAGTGGGGACCATCCAGTTCTCGAGGGAGGTTTGTTCCAGATGGCAGGTGCTGTGCCGGATGGTATGGTTTAAACAAAGATACCCAGAGCATGCCAAATCTGCCAGATCAAATCAGCTGGGCAGATACTATGGAAGACAGAGTAACCTTGAATCACACCTGCTTGGAGACAAACTTGCAAACAAACTTGTGAAGCAGAAGTGTTACATGGGCATACCAAGGAATGCCAATGATGTTGCATTTGGGCCAGTTGAAGCTTCTGAGTAGTGTTCAAGGGAAGCCCCATGTAATACTTGTTTACTCTGAATTTTACAAAATTCCCTTTAAAATCTAATTTTAAGAAAAGGCTCCAGCAAAGAAAACTGCTGTTTGGTGCACTCTTTTCAATATCTCTTTTCTCAGTCTCCCCACCACTTTCCCTACCCCCACCACCACTTCCAGTCTTTATTCCAGGAGCTCAATAGTTACCTAGACTTTTCGGGGCAGTTGTCTGGATTACAATGCCCACTTAGATCTAATACGTTAAAGAAACATTTTCTTGTATTGTTAAAAAACCGTGTGTTTCCTATTTCTGACTTGTTTTGATTACAAGCCTGTTTTGATTACAAACCAGAAGCACTCAGACTTGTACACTGGAAACAAATGGTTGTCTTCTTTTTACGTGATAATGGAACATTCCTTATTTTTTAGACATACTGTAGGTAGCGTACAAAATTCTGGACCTCTAGAAAGGATCTAGAATTAGTGATATTGGAAAGGGGATAGTCATTTATTAAGAGTTAAATGCCATCAGAAATATTTGGCTGGCACCTATTACTTGAATAGGGCAAGAAACAATTGTCTCAAAGCCTACTCTTTAACCAGGTGATTGCAACCTTATGCCCACTAGATGTGCTGGCAACAATTCCATAAACCCCCACCTAAGGGAGCCACAATAGCTCAGAGTAATGTAATCAGTAATCCAAACTCCAATATTGCAAAAAGCTGCTTTCAGAACCACAGTGTTTTTTAAGGCATTCCAGCAACAGAGAATATAGCCAACTTTTCAAAGTGATTTAAGTAAAATAAGCTTTCCACTGAGTCCTTCATAACACCAAATTCAGTCTTTATATTAGGTTATGAAAAAATAGCATTACTGTTCATTTTTTAAAGTTATATGGCTAACACTCTGGCATTAATAAGTAATCAGCTACAAAAACCATTATTGTGAGCCAAAGCAGTATTTGAGAGAAACTTAACATTTGACAGTGCCAAGTTGCTACAGATTGAACATGGAAAAAGTAGTATTTAGAATACTTTCAACAAAAAAAGTAACTTTGTGCACTTACAAACCCAGACATATCATGCAGCCTTTCTTAACCATGGTGCCCTTCACATATTCAATTCTAGTAAATCCCAGCTGGTGTGGAAGTTGAAATTCAATATATATGGAGGGTACAAAGCTGGGAAAGGCTGATGGAGCAACTGATGTATTACATATACATTATTAAACCTCTTAGTTTGCATTACAAAATGAAGTATTTAACTCTGTAGCATTTATGAGCATTTCAATCATTTTGCATTCATAATTGCCAAACAGAAAAGATACATACCGGATAAGATGAGGAGTTCAATAATCTCTGCATCTCCCAAGAAAGCAGCAACATGAAGCGGGGTGCGCTTCTCCGTGTCCTAAAAAAAAAGAAAAGTGATGGTAAAAAAAAGGCTATTGTAGATCTTGTGCCATATGAACTAGAAGGCTAAGACCATAACTTTATAGTAGTGTAGACTGTTTTTTGAAAGGGAGAGGGGGGTGCCTTTGAGTTGGTGTTGACTCCTGGCAACTATTTGGTTTAGCCCCTGAAGTTTTCTTCGCAAAGTTTTTGGAAGTGGTTTCCTAGGCTGAGAGCGGCCCAAAGTCACCCACTCAAAAGTTTAGCCTGGTGCCTTAAACACTGCATCAAACTGACTTTTTCTGTAGGCTTTAGGTCTGTGGAAAAAGAAAGGTTAGGTCTTATTTACTCTTCAAAATCAATACCGAATGGCAGGTAGAGACTTCTATGCCACACTTTCTCTTGTTCTAACCGCCCTTACCTCCCTTAGCAATAGTACCAAATAATCGGCATCATAATGACAACTTCCCTATGTGAGATACTGGTATTTGTTACCCCTACAGTACTGACTTGAGGACCAAGAAAGACCTTCGGAAATTGTCTTATTATTTTATAAACAATGGATTACGCAAAGTGATATGGCATTGCTACTGGGATAGGAGTGAGGAAGTTGGGTCTATGCAGCCAAACTTTAGAAAGTCAGTGACTTCCCATCCTCCTTCCCCTTAGTTCATTAATTGAAATCATATTCAGATTTTCTTTCCTTGGGCTTCTTATATGTTGTTATACTGTTGGGATTGTACATTTTGATCTAAAACAGTGGATTTGGGGGAAGATTAATCTGCAAATCAGATAACACATTTGTAATTACTGCAGGTATATGTTGTATTCCTGATATTGTTTTATCTACTTAAGACTTTAAGCATAAAGATAAAAGACATGTAGTTTATACTTTGGGGGCTGCATATGAATTCAAGTTGCCATCTGGATTTTAATTAGTTAATGATGGCTGGTATCTCATCAAAGTTTAAGGTTATTAAATACAAAAATGCACTTATTGTTAATTTTCCTTATAGAAACAATACATTTGCAATTAATGTAACAAAAAACAGACAATGTAATGATACTTAAATTTATGAACTGCTACTTGAAAGTTTAAAAGAGAATAATATCTATGCGTTGTGTACCATCCATTTTTTATTTTGTTGCTGTTCTTTCTTGCACATTAAAAGTTTTTTTTAAAAAAAACCAGACTCCTTATTCTTATTGTTCCATTTTTCCAAAATGATGTAACAGTCCCAGAATGGGTAGAATTTAGTTTGTGGCCCATTCTCTCTCTTGCAGGTAGCATCTATTTGGATGCTACAAGAACGGTTTGGTGGGACTAATGTTCGCCTATATAGAGTACCTTGTTTGTTAGTGAACCTGAGATGAAGCTGTAAGGTAGATGTTTATATGGGTCCCACAGTTTTTTCCACTGTGAGGCTTTTGATTTAAGCTCTTGAAATATTCCACTTGAACTATTAGTATCCAGGTCTGGTTTCAATTCTCAGGGGGCAGAACTTAGGAGTATTTTTGTATTATTTTGCAAAATGGTACAAAGCTTTTTGTGCATGGAGGCCAAATTTGGAAACAACACTATATTAAAGTAATATCTATATCATGTTGTTGGGGATGGTAGAAACTGAGAAATTGGAATGATTTGTAAATACTATCTTTTTAAAATAAGAAAGCACCTGCCTTATACTCTGTAAATAACGGGCATATGGTGACTTAGGCAGCTACCCCATAAAATGAGCTTGTTATGTACGTTTGGATCCAAATGAAAGTAGTGTCTCTATGTGTGTGTTGTGGTCTATGAACTGCTATGAGGTCTATCTCGTTCCCCTCCTGTCTTTAATCCTAAAACCGCCTTTCCCTATAGTGCTAATACTACTAACAATTCATGTGTATTTCCATGGTGAGTGACCAGCACTCCAGTATTTGGTTTTTTCATATTTATCTACACTGGAATTTCTAAACGAGTGCTGTCTGCAGGTTTTGTCACCTATTTGGCAATATGTCCTCCATGCCCCCAGTCTGAAGTAGGTCCTCTCTCCAGATGTTATTATTGTCTACCTGTTTGCCTTCTGCTTTGTGTCCAATCGGGACAACTCCTCTGAAGGTAAAGGCAAGGGGAAAGGAGCCACTCCCTGCTGTTTCTTTTACCGATTTATGCCACTATTTATTCATTTATTTAAAAGATTTATGCAAATGCCCATCTTGTAAAGCACAATTCTGGATGCCTCCAGAATAAAACCAAAGGCAAGAAAAACAAGAAAACTAGGCGTCTCATAATATCCAGTCCATTACACCATACAGTTCTCTGGGTCCTACCTCACCTTCTTCTAGTGCCTGGTTTTGTTTTGTTTTTTGTGTGTTTGGAAAGCACTAGAAGAAAACAGTATTAGAAGCTACTATTAAACAAGCAAATCCAAAATTTCTCAGTGTGTCTCCTAGCCTTAATATAGAATAGGCTTCATTTATCTTGTCATTGTTAACGTATCTCACTGATACGGTTTTAAAAATTAAGTCTAACCTTCTGAAATTATCCGGAAACATCTTACACTGCATCACTGCAGAACTTCTATACCAAAATAAGCACCACCCTTAAATCTACCATCTGGGGCTTTCTTGAATCACAGAGCTCAAAGTAGAAACTACAAAGGTAGCAATTAGCTAGAAGCAGATATTCTGAGTTTCATTCAAGTTGCAGCAAATTTACTGTAGACCATATTTTAGGAATATGTGGACATCCTAGATATAGCATTAAGCTCAAATAAAATTAAAACACTTCAATCAAAGATTTCCTCAAGTTGCCCTTGACTCTTGATGATGATATGTCTGTGTTTTCTTGCCAACAATATAGAAATGTTTTATGTTGCCTTCCTTCTCATTTCTTCCCAATGTAGCCTACAGAGCTGGCATTTCCTGATAACCTTTTATTAATCTTTATAATCCTACTTGGCTTTTTCACTATTAGTTAAAATAGGCCAGATATTCAAGAATGAATGGCAACTGGAGATCGATTAGCAATATGTAGAAGTTATCAAGTTCTATACCAAAGGACAGAAAAAACAAATATCAGGGCTCATATATTGAAGACATCTGTTCCTTTATAAATATTTTGAAAGATTCTAGTTTAAATAAATAATTGAATATAAGAAAGTTGACTACAGAGGAAGGTCAGTTCACCTTGTTAAGATAAGCATGGTATGTTTTAAGCACAGGTCTTAAACAAACTAAAAAAAATTGGCCCAAAACAATAGCTACATTAAACAATGCCAAGAATATATTTGTGGAATGAGAATTAAGATTAATTTGTTTTTTTACTTCATTCTTCAGTAAAAGTATTTTGCATTGTTGTATAAGTTAATGCTAAAAAAAGCAGACTGGTACATGAGGAAGATAACTTTTGCTGAGAAAATCATAAGAACAATGAACGGACAACTGCATATAGGTATTGTTCAATCATTTAAACATATCTTCCTTAATCTAATTTAACCTAAATGTGTTGGACTAGAATATTGATCATTAAGGAATTATGGGAACTGGAATCCAACTAAAGTGGAGAGCAGTAAATTGTCATCAGCCATTCAGTCGTGTCTGTCCCTTGACCACTGTATAGATTAACACTCTCCATGCCCCTCTGTCTCGTACCGCCACCTTCAGATCCACCACAGTCATCCCAGTGTCATCTTTAATAGTATCCAGCCAGCGGGCACTAAATTGTGAAAAGTTATTATTTACATGGATTTTTAATTATTCTATAATAATGTGAAAATAATCAATTTTCCAACTTTGCCAAGAAAGCTGAATGCACTTCTCAAAAGCAGGGAAAACAAAAACACTAACATACTGACTGCATTTTTTTTAAGTGATGGTTCAAGCAGGATCAAATAAGTCTATCGTTAGCGTTTACCAATTAGGGAAGTATGTCTACATATGTGCATAAGAGTTACGAAAATACTTTGACACTGTTACTAACAGAACACAGCCAAAATACCAGTAGAAGAGAATTCAGTCAAAATAATTTTAGGGGCTGGATCACAGCTCCAAAACATGAAACCTACCTGCTCTAAATTCAGGACACAAAATGGCTCAATCTCAAAATTGGTCCATCCATCTTAAAATATTGAAAAAAATCCTATAAACCCTTACACTAAATGCCAATTCATGGCAGCTTCATATTCCCTCAGGCTCAGGATAACTGAATAGATCCTCATAAGATGCAATGGATTTCAGACTGTGCAAAGAATAAATAAGAAAAGCAACTTGTCAATATAACAAACTTATTAATTATAGCCGTGAAATATTACCTTTCACTGAAATGTAGATATCCAATAATGGGAACCAGCCAGGTCTCTAAACTATTGTTAGATCAAGCACATATATTTGTGCTGTATAAATTCAGTATGAGGAATTCTAAGTCCCCTTATTCCCTGTGGATAGTTAGCCTATGAAATCACATGCAGGAACACTGGGTTTACAACCAGTACCATAAAGTAAAAGATACAGAGAGGAAATACCTTGAAGAAAAAATAGAGCAATCAACATATCTGAATTAGCAAGACCAACCTGAACCAAGTAAATCCATAATGAAACACTCCCTATTTATGCCCACATATAATCATACTATATTTCTACACATATTCACATTAGGAAAGGAAACAAATGCTGTATCTATTCTTTTTACATTCTGCAGCCAAGACCATTATCATTGTAGGAAGCCCAAAATCACACCTTACTGATTCTGAGAATTACAACCCAACACCAGTTCTTCATCAGTAAAAAGTTAGATGTTTTTTCACATAGGTGAAAACACAGCAAACTGCACTGACTATGCAGTAAGAAAGAGACTGTTAGAAAACCCTAAAATAAATTACACATAATGGCCAGGATCACTCAAATAGAAGTCTCATACACACACACAAACACAAATTACAATGTAATCCTCTACTCACACTTTTTAGTAATGACCTAATTTTGTGTTTAATATTAAATATTAGGTCCATGAGCTTTTGCAATCCCTAAGCAAGACTTAACTGCTGTACATCTAGAAAGAGAAATGGTTTCACTCCTCACAATAAGACTTAATGTGCTTTGTTTGGTTTTCAGGTATTCTGAACAAAGTTGCTATGGTTTATTCACCAGCCCCTGCTTAAAATATTTTTATTTTATTTTATTTATTTTATTAAATTTATATGGCACCCGTCTCACTCTACAAAGCAACTCTGGGCAGCATATAAAATATATTTTGTAAAACCAGTATTACATATTAATTCCATTTTTCCTGACTTCTGAATTGCATGTTGTGGCTGTTGTTCAGTCAGTCAGTTCAAATTGTTATAGTCACATACTGTCAGGGAATCTATGACATTAATAATTAGTGTGATGTCTCTATAGTTTAACATTTTGTCTAGATCTGTCGTATTTTTTGCTCAAGTAGCAGATGTCTTTGCATTTCATAGCTTTAGTCACCATCCTTGTGAAGTTTTGAGCCCACTTTTTCATTACTTCAACTTCACCTCTTCTTGTTTCCATTTTATTGGCATTGCCTGACATAACCTTAAGGATTTTTTAAATAACAGGTAATTGACCAACCTTTGTACTCTCTTCTCTTACCTTTAATAATGTATAATTATTATAATTTATAATTTAGTCTTCTTCATTTCTTGCTATCAAGGTGGTATCATTAAAATATCCAAAACTATTAATGTTTCTCCTAGCAGTTTTAATTTAAATTCTCTTTCTTCTAGTCCAGCTTTTTAAAGATACATTCTGCACATAAGTTAAATAAATATAACTACATAACCTTGACAACTTCTTTCATTATTGTTAACTATTTTGTGCTTTAAAATAAACTTAGGCTGTAAAATAAATCAGAATCACTGACTTGTTAAACAGCTAGTAGAATTTGTTCTAAGCTCCTACTCCTAGTCCTTACTAATAAGAATAGTAAGGAATTCAACAATCATAAATATGCTATTTCTCTACCTGACCCCACAAAAGAGAAATCATAGGAAACACACATGCTCTGAGAGCTTTAGCTTATCTACAAATGTCGTATTATTTAAAGTTTGAAAAGTATATTTAGTATATTTTCATACAAAGAATAAAAGATACTTTAAATATAAGATGGCAGTTTTATCTATTAATCCATCCATGTTTTTAAATTCTGTTTTATTATATGCTATGTAGCAAAATTATATTGTGTTTATTTTATTTTCATTAACTGCAGAAGACCTGTGTAATAGGAGTTCTATTGCCATTAAAAATTCATTGCCAAACCAAACCCTGAATCCTTCTATTCACCCAGCTTTACAAATATCTAAAGTGAGAGAAAACATGCATGAACTCATCAGGATTCATTTGCTTTATTCCAGATCAGGACTGGAGAACAACCTAGATGTTTAAATGCAAGCTAATCTAAATAACAAGCAATTACCCGTTTTATTTGCTCTTTCTTGAATAAAGAAACTTAAAAGAGAACCACCAAGTATATCTTTTCAAGAAAGGCAATTCTATCACTTTCAGTTGGAATCACACACCCCCAACCCCCCCCCCCCAAGGTACTGCTATGTAGCCCCATCATGAGAGGGGAGAAGCATATGTCAAGAATATACAATGCCAGCAGAGTCATCCAAGATATGATAGTCATCCCAACTACCTATCTAAAGCAAGCAGGTGCCTATATTGGTCAGTAACTAAATGGAAAGATGCTGGAGGCAGAAGATCATTTTAATGACAAAGAGTAAGGCATCATTTCATATTGCAATACAGAAAGCAATGGTAAACTGTTCCTATTATACCAATATTTTACAAGAAGACCACGTGAATGCAAATTATAAAATGATTGGTGATCATCAGTGCCTGATGATGGCCCCACCTCATAATGCATGGTATTCAGCATGCTTCTGAGGAAGAGCTGAGAATCTCTCGGAATACTAATGGTGATTATGACTTAGTCATATTAAAGCCTTCAGGCCATCTAGTTATTGATGTTGCCATACAGAACATCTTTATACATGGACATTACCAAACAGAGTACACAGAGGTATCAAATTGTCCACATTAATGGCACAAGGAATAGAAAGTACTCAATTATAAGAGCAAACACAGTCAGAGGCTGATTGTGGAATGGATCATAAATTGCTCAGGTGAAAATTCCAAGTTAAACTAACAGCAGAAGAAAGCCAACCACCTTCCCTGATGTAATCTTGAGCACACTCCCATTACTTTCAAGGAGAACATCAGGGATCACTTTGAAATCCCAAACCTCATTGACAGGGAGCCAATGGAACTCTGAAATGGACTTAAAGTGGTTAAGGATGAATGTAAAAAGAGACTAATAAAAGGAGAGGGAAAATGTGACAATGGGTGTGCTATTTGAAGATTTGAAGAACCAGGTTGAGGACAGATCCTCCTAAAGAAAATCTCTCTATATGGTCCCTAAGAGTCAACACTGATTTGATGGCAATTAATCCATGTAGTTTGAATAAATACTGTTAACAGAAACTGTGTTTATCTTGCATACAATCAAAGTGTCCCACAAATGTCTTAAAGATCTGATACTTTTAATGTGTCACAAAGCCTTTGTATTTTTGTTAAATTTGCCTGCCCTCTGGAATTTTTTCCTTACGCTATTAGTTGTATCTCACAAAAAATGCAGTTTTACACATCATCATAGTCTTTTAAATAAATGCCTTGCAAATTTTGTAGTCTTAGTAACAAACACATCATCTTGCCCCAGACAGCAGTTACTATCTTTGAAATGTTAGTATTTACTGTTTAGCTGATGACTAACCACCTCACCATAAAAATGTTATTGCAGTGGATTATAAAAACAACATGCTAAGCAGCAGCAAAAACAAACAAACAAACAAAAAAGCACTTCCATGAAGAATGTAAGAAGAGAACACTGGGGGCCATCCATAGAGGATGGGAGCAGAACTGCTCGATTCTATTTCCAAGCACAAGGTCACAAGGTTCAGTATTGGAATACCTTTATGAGCTTAGCATGTATTAAGTGAACAAAAATTATTTGTGGTAGTTTACCAAATCACAATTGTACTTTAAAGGTAAGAGGCAGAGAAAATTATTCTGAAAGATTCTTGTCTTTGCTATGAATCTTGTCTCACCTCCACCAGACATTTTCTCCCTATTGATGAAACACCAACAGAATTAGAAAAGAAACGTATGAAGTTCCTTACCAACGCATTAACATCTTCAGTTTTGTAGATTAATATACGTATCTCATCAGGATCGCCATTGAAAATTGCTTGGACCAGCGGTGGCTAAAGAGATAAAAACAGGAGGGAGGGTGGTGGTAGAAAGAGAGGTAAATGTATTTATTGAAGAGATTCTACAATCAACAAATGTTCAAACTGTTGCATACATAGAAACAACTGAGCTTTCTTGAACAGCCTTCTTTCGTAGAAAAAAAAGGCACCTTGATGAAGCTGATGGTACAGTCTTAGAAACACAGACACATTCAACCTCTTAATAAGGACAAATTATTTTGGTTCTCCAAATTCTATAAATAAGGTTATCTCAAATTCATTCCAGAATAAAAGTAATGGATACTTGTACTGTACATACAAGACTTTCAAGCGACATAAATGTTGGGCTCAATTGTGTTTGTAACTCAGGGACTACCTGTATAAGGAACAATTTTTCCCAGATTCTATTTTTTCCAGATTCTTGGTTGGGATTATAGTTTTAGTTTTAAATGATATTATGGCTTTTCTTGGGGACTGTAGCTTTAAAATAAATATTTTTTTACAATATTATATGCCCATATTTTGGATGTCATCTGAAGTGATGTTATTTGACATTTAAAAAGACTGACTCTTTTTATGTTTCCTGACCAAAATAAAGATTGACTATACTTGTACAGAAATAAATAGAGGTTTATTTTTTTGCTTCCTGCACTATTTTTGGGCAGAGACTTGGTTTCAAAATGGCTAATATCCATTTTTATTTTTATAACTAAACTATTGCCCTCAGGATCACTGTTTCCAGGTGAACCAGAGGCCACTTCCTGTAATGCCCTGGAATCTGGCCATTTTCCTATCCTAGAAAATTACAACAAAATAACTTACATTTTCAAATGTATCAGATAGGGCTTTGACAACAAGCACTTAAAAATGTGTGTTATTCCTGGAAAGAAAAATATCGAAAGCATATTCCGTTCTGAACCATTTCTTTTGGAATGATATCCCCCACCAAAAATCCCTTAGTTTTGTGGTACTCTAAATATATAGAGCTATAAATTAAAATGACATAATTATTCATTCAACAAATGTTTTACTTTTAAAACATACAAATAAAGGTGAAAAAGCTGGAGCACTAAAAAAAAACAGCTCCAATAAAAAATCAAAGACAAGAACAGGGGGAACAAAGGTTCCAGATCAGGTCTTTCTGCCTCCTTTCCAAAGTTTCATGGGGAGTCCAAACAACAAAATAATTATTACACTGTTCCTCAACTTCCTTTAACCTTACATACAGTATGCAAAACATTAAAGGAGAGAAAAATGCCTTTTAATTAGTAATTAAATGACCAAGATGAATTTTGAACAGTAACAGAGTCAGCAGAAATAATCACACTCTCCATTCACATAAACATAGGCTAATAATTTGCATAGACCCATCCTGAAGATTAATTTCTTTTTTTACCAGGCAGAGGCCCTTTCCCCACAGCATATACATGTCCTGGCAGCATCTTTTCTTCTGAAATATCCTTACATTATTGCTGTCATCTTTTCCATTCCTCATGAGTTGGACAGATTTAAGACATCACAAATGCTTGCACAAGGACTAGTTCGTTAGGTTCAAGGTGGTGACACACAAACTGAGACACAAATTACTTTTAATCATTCTTTTGTAATCTATCATAGGTGAGCCCTTGGCTGTTGCATTCCCAGAAGCACCACCAATCTGGTAAAGGATAAGTAACATTGTGTCCTACAGTATTAGAAAGGCTGTTGCTGAAGATAAACCTTATTTTTTTTTAAAAAAAGCTTTAATTCCCAGGAAAGACATGTTTATTCCCGATCCACTGCCTGTGGTTAAACTTCCAACTTGGAAGTTTCTATTGAAGGAAAAATGGAACAAATACTTCATAGACACTCCTGTGTCTATGAAGCCATTCGACAAGAATTTGAGACAGTTGTTACAGCTCACACCTGCTTCTTCAGTGCACATGTTGGTACTCAAGGGGCTCTTTCTAGCTCTCACCTTACAGGAACAACCTACCCAACTGACTGTCCCTCCTAGAGCAAACCATTACACTACACTGGGGCTCCTTTGATTCAGATAAGGCAGTGGTGGGATTCAAATATGTGAACAACTGGTTCTCTGTGTGGATGCTGCTTCCGGAAATCCATTCTGGGCCTGGGCAACAAAAAATTAGCTACCAGTTCTGCTGAAGTGGTGCGAACCGGCGGAATCCCGCCACTCAGATAAGGCCCCTGGACTCTGTTCAGCCCTTTCATGGGTCCAGAGTGAAGATCACTTGGGAGGGTGATTCGAATTTTCTTCTTTGTTCTTTCTCCACTTCTTTGTGGGAAGAGAGAACTCTTTCACATGAGAACTTTGTTTGTAAAATGTGTGAAGGAGGTAAATCAGACATGTCAAACACAAGGCCCGGGGGCCGGATGCGGCCCGTGAAGTGGTTTCATGTGGCCCGCGAAGCCACCCTGGAAACAGTGAGGGAACGGCCCCTGCTGCCTTGGCCCTGGCCCAGGCCGGCCGGGAGCCAATGTACAATTTTGTGGTGGCCATCTATGCTGAAACGCATTCAGTCTTAGCTCCACAAGGCCGTCTAGAAACAGCGAGGAACCAGCCCCTGCCGCATCGGCCCTGCCCCCTGGCTGCATGCTGTGGAGGTGTCACCCTTTGTGAGGAATGAAGAAATGGACCATGCCTTGGCGCTTGCCCCGGTCCCACCCCCTTCTGCCAGAGACCCTCAGGTCTGTCCCACTCCTGCCCAGGCCCCCCACAGGCACCCTTGACACGAATGATGTAGAGCTGGCCACGCCCACCCAGTAGGCCACACCCACTCCATCCACGCCCACCCAGTAGCCCCCCCCACCCGGCCCCCCAAGGGCAACCACAATGCTGATGCGGCCCTCAATGAAATTGATTTTGACACCCCTGAGGTAAATCAAAGCACTCTTTGATCCCCCCTCCTGGCTTTCCATCAAGGAAATGGAACAATTTTTTGAGACCCATGGCCTGGCAACTATTTCTCCAGCAAAGCTGTGACTGGTGAATGTTTTTATAACCAACTATTGATAAACAGTATAGAGAGGCTACAAAGACAGAGGATTCACTCAACCACCTTGCTTATCATGTGATGTACACACATTTTCAAAACATCACCTTTTAGCAATAAAACAGATCAGGGATGATAAAAGTAGGACAGAGATTGGCAGTTGGGTCAATAAATTCCACACTAGGATAGAATAGATACAAATAGATTACAATGAACATGTAATTGCTAAAATGTATGAACTTTTACTGAAATTTGAAACTGAAAAACAAGTACCGTAAAAGAATGTATGATACATTGAGCTAAAGAAATTGATTATAGGATACATAGGAAAATATTGTCAAGAATGTATAAAGGTACTTCACATTTACATTGGAAATGTGGACACAAGAAACATTTTATCATGTTTAGTGGATGTACAAAAAAGCTAGAAAATTCCAGATTAAAATACATATGCTGATTCAGAGGATTTTAAAGATTAACATGAAATTGAGGCCAGAGGTTTTTCTTATAGGAAAACTATATCCATATTGATGGATAAATAGTAGGAAAAAAGTTAGATTTTTTTACATGATAACTGCAGTGTGATTATTATATGCCCAAAGATGGAAAGATTCAGTACTTACAATGAAGATTATGGATTTTGCTGAGATCGCTAAAGTGACTCCTTTGAACAAAGACAATAGTTATCTTTATTGCTGACAGGAAACCCCCTAAGGACTTTTTGTGTAAAATAGAAAAAAAATGAATTTATGATTTATGGTTTTAATGGTTAGACAGGATAAATTATAGAAAGAAGAAAGTTATACTGTAATCACAAAGTTGGAGGTAAATTTATAATTGTACTTATAACTGATACAAAGAAGATCAGAAGCTACTTCTTTGTGTCTTTTTTCTTTCTTTTCAGTTTTAGTTTTTACTTTTTTCTTTCCTTTCTTGCACTTTTAGCTTCCTCTTTGATTACTTTATTTTTTTTTACTTTATATTAGTTTTTATCTTCTTTTTAAAAAAATACCTTTAATAAAAATTATATGGAAAAAATAAATCCCCCCGTTTTCTACCAATTTAAAAATCGATAGATAACTCTTACATTCACTTTGGTTTCCCTGGTCCTGGGATGCCTGCTGGAAACACATTTTATTAATAAATATTTGCAAACCACCACTGACTTTATTTCAAACTAATTAATTTATTAAGGCAATAAATTATTCGAAGTTCAGTGTCCAGTATCCTTTTCCAATGTACTGGCTGTAACTGGTAGGAAATGCAGCATTGGTTCAGAGGAATTCCTTCCTCTTCTATCTTACTACAGCAGGGATGTCAAACTCAATTTCATTGAGGGCTGCATCAGCATTGCAGTTGCCCTTGGGGGGCCGGATGGGTGTGGCCAGGGTGGGTGTGGCCTACCAGCATTGGCGTGGAGGGAGTGGGTGTGGCCTACTCTACATTATTCGCGTCAATGGTGCCTGTAGGGGCCTGGGCAGGAGTGGGACAGATCTGAGGGTCTCTGGAAGAAGGGGGTGGGACCAGGGCAAGTGCCAAGGCATGGTCCACTGGAGGAGTCTCACTGTTCCTCTCGGGCTATGTGGGGGAGGGGGCTGGATGGTGGTATGGACTGCCCGGAGCCCTGGGCAGCAGAGGTCAAATGCCCAGCCTGGCCCTTGAGCACTCGTGGCACCAAGCCCAGCCCCACTTCCCCAAGGGGGCGCCCAACTGCACTTATCTCCTCCTCAAGGCTGCTGCTGCTGTGCTTGCTCTCCTTAGCCAGGTTGTTCATGATGGGTACCAGGGAAAAGTCAGAGGGAGACTGAATGCGTTTCAGCATAGATGGCCACCACAAAATTGTACATTGGCTCCCGGCCGGCCACTGGCCTGGGCCAGGGCCAAGGCAGCGGGGGCCGTTCCCTCACTGTTTTCGGGATGGCTTCGCGAGCCACATGAAACCACTTCGTGGGCCGCATCCGGCCCCCGAGCCTTGTGTTTGACATGTCTGTACTACAGAGTCCTCTTTTTCTCTCCTGAAATCTACTTGCCAATATT